AGCGGCTGGAGCTAGCGGCTGGAGCTAGCGGCTGGAGCTAGCGGCTGGATCTAGCGGCTGGTGCAAGCGGCTGGAGCTAGCGGCTGGTGCAAGCGGCTGGTGCAAGCGACTGGAGCTAGCGGCTGGAGCTAGCCGCTTTTTACCTTTATTTTTATTTATCATAAAAAAAATCATAAAGGTAATCAAAAAGGTAAATATCATAACTCCAAAACTATCAAAAATCGCGGAACATACATGGGGGTGATTCGGATACCCCACGACACGAGAGACCAAAATTTTTTTTTTGGACGTCAATGATCCGGCCACCTGTATAGGTCGAAACGCATTACTGCTTCACGGCAGACATAGGCAGGGTGGTGGTACCTACCCGTCCGTACGGGTTGTGAGTCCGTACTCACAAGAGGTCCTACCACCAGGTTTACTTAGAACATGCTCACGAATGACTTTGATTATGAAGGAATATCGTGTTACGAAATTCGCAAAAAATATAATTTACGTAATTACTAACGTTGGAGGGCTCTATGAGCTCGCACGGATAGATACCGCCGTCCTGTGTGCTTAGTGCGAGTTTGCAACGAAAACGACTTAAAAACCTGCCTATTTCTGCCGTGAAGCAGTAATACGTTTCGGCTTGAAGGGTGGGGCAGCCGTTGTAACTATACTTGAGACCTTAGAACTTATATCTCAAGCCCAGCATAGCCAGCATATACTGTCGATTCGCCTAGGAATGCAGTAAAAGCCCCCAGCGGCAAAAATTGTAGAGGCTTTTAATATGCAAAAATAACAGTAAAGGGAGGCAGCCCTAAGTTTAAGTGGGAGGGAGAGGGAGGAAGTGTCGTGCGTGCGATTTAATTCCATCGCCTTGCCCGGGACCCGGCGGCTCTCCGCCCGGCGATAGGCACGACCTAATGATTGAACGATACCGAAATAATATATTTTAGGGGCATTTAAGTCTTTGTTTTGGCGAGTATTTTGTATTGTGTTTATGTGGCGGCCTTAGAACTCGTATAGAATTAACTCGGCCCACTGAGTTTCTCGCCGGATCTTCTCAGAGGGTCGCGTTTCCAATCCGATGGTAGATTCTGCGAAACACTGCTCTTGTTAGGGCCAGTGTTAGCAACACGATTTGAGCCCCGAAAGCTCACCTACACGCTACGGTGAAGCTTAAATAGCCTCTCAAGTCTATGAGCATAGGTAAGAAAAAAATAACTATAATGAATTGTTTACGAAACGTATTAGGTATAACAATGAGTAGATTCATAAGTCCTTTTTTTTAGCTTAGACTTCTGAACAGGCTCACGGCCCGTCCGGTGTTGAGCAGACATCGAAACCAATAGATATAATTTCAACGTTAATGCTGCCACCAATTTTGATACTTGAGATGTATGTGTATCAATTGAGTAATTCCGCAAATCCATATTTTTCCGGGTTCAGTTTCTATTACACGATAGATATATCCTTAAAAATCTCCTCATTGTCTCCACCTTATCCCACTAAGTGGGGTCGGCACAGCGAATTTTAGTTTTCCATTCCCTTCTAGCAGCCGTCATCTCAACGCTCACTCCACTCCCTTTCTCACATATCGTCATTCACACACTCCATCCAAGTCTTCTTCGGTCGACCTCTTCCCCCTCCCTTTTCCACACATCTCTAGTCAAATGCATCTCCTCCCTACGCATCACATATCACGCTAACTACTTTTAATACCAACAGAAACAGAAGCGCTAACATAATTTGATGTTAATTGAATAAATGTGTGTGTATTTATATATATATAGTTCTGTCTCAATTTCTCATAAAACGCCAACAAGAGCGAAAAAGACAATCTGGGTAACTTTTTATAGCTTTCACTGTATATTAAAGCAAAATGGTTTTTTTCTCGGGTTGAAATTCTTCCGAAAAAATTTGGGGTACTCAATGACGCGCGCCAAGTACGATAAACATATATTTTTTTGAATTTTTAAATTTTCAAATATATATTTTTTTATTTTTTCAACATTATGACGGTTTCTTGGTATTTTTTTTGTATTTCACATCTTTTTGTAGAGAATGAAAGTTATTGAAGTCTTATTTTTTTTGTAAAGTGCAAATGTTATTGAGATGAGTTTTATAAACGTGGACTTCGCGCAATTTTTTACAGTAAAACTGTTTTTCTTCGGATTTCATATCTTTTTGTTAAGTATTATTTTTTGCTCATTTATTACTTAACAAAAATAGACAATAGAATAAAAATAAATTATAAATAGTCACTCAGCTTAAAAGCTAATGAAACGCTCAATTAATTAGTGTAATAATAATCAACATCAACTTTTACAAATTTAAACAATTTAAATTCTGTTTCAAATGTGAACGGTAGATGACGCTGTTCTTAATTATTTCAGATTTTAAAATTGAAATCTGAAAATTTTGAAACGTCAATCCGCATAAATGTAATTTAAAAACTACAGTAAGAGGCTTAAATAAAAAGCTGAACTTAACTCAGCCTTAATTAGAATTTTTTTCGGAATTCAGTAGTAAAGTTCAAATTATTTTGATGAAATCAAAACTGAAATATTCATAACAACTTAAACAATCACCTACGAATAAATATTATTTATTATATTATTTATTATACGAATAAATATTATTTATTCAGTAGACAATCACAACGGTTTTATAGTTTTGGGAAGGGATTTTTTGTAACGCCATCTCGTGAAGTATTTCGGTATTACATTAATATAAAATAATTAATAATTGGGAATTTAATTATTTTTATGATCGAACAATCACCAATAGTCGTCGAACAAACGATAATTGATCAAAATGAATTAATCTGAGCGATAAAAATAAAGATATCTAGTAAATAATTAAAAATAAAAAAAAATCCAAAAATAAAAGAAGGGGGGCCAAATTTACAGAGCCTAAACCTATTGGTTTCCTACTTCAGTGGTCAAACAACGTTTAGTAATTGTATTTTTCCAACTGGAAAGGCGAAAGTATCATTCCATAGAACCTAATCTTTGGTATTTTCTCTTTTATTAAAAATGATAAGCAATTAAATGAAATGGAGTTGATCAATTTGAGACATTAATCAATTTTAATGAAATTAACGGAGAAAAGATGAAATGAAATAAGTCACAGTAAAATTTTTTTTTTTAATAAGGCTCTCTGGAGGGCCTTCCCCTTTAGCAGCCAAAGAGCTGCCGGGGACATGGCCTAGCATCCAAGAGGGCTCCAGAAGGGAGCCCTCTCCCGCTTCACGCGCCCTTTGTCCAGCAAAGGTGGGAAATGGAACACGGTCTTCTTAGTTCGCGGCACCCCTGTGCAGACAACGCTGCTCCACGGTATCGGGGTGCACAAGGCGAGACCACGTTGTGTGTAGATTCTGTGAAAGATTCCGAAAAGTCAAGTCCAGTGACTTTGCTTAACTTTACCCCATCTGTGCACTTTCACAGATGCTACGCAGTTAATAAACCATCATTATCATATCTTTAAGCCAAAACTAAGAAACACTAATTTAAACAATGCTCCTCGAATATCGGCGAAAAAATTTGTTCAATTTGACATTACGATGTATGTTTGATTTTGTCTATTGGTTAGGCGAAGGGTACAATCAAATTTTATTTATCAGGCAAGCATTATGTATTTTAAAAAGCATAAAGCATAAGGCATAATATATGTATTGTAAAAACTGAGACCTTAGAACTCATGTCTCAAGGTAGGTGGTGGCATTTACGTTGTAGATGTCTATGGACTCCAGTGACCACTTAACATCAAGTGGGCCGTGAACTCGTCTACCCACTTAAGCAATAAAAACCAAAATTAAAAAAACTATTTTGTATGAAAAGTTAAGCAGAGTGGATTGAAATCAAATTTATCTAAATTGATTTATAATATTTATATAAATCAATTTAGTTTAAAATGAAATTTAATGAACTGAAATAGTAATACCAGACCGTATGTACGTGTTAGATTAGATGAAATGACATCAGCTCCCAGTTGCATGGTTAAGATTTACAGTAGGTACTTTACCGGACTTTTTGTAAAGATCCAAGAAGCCACTTTCAGCGATCTCGTTCTATTCCGCCAGGCTTATATACCTTCATAAATACTAAATGATTCATTTTTTCATTCAACAAACTTCAATTTGTCCAGATTTACATCTGATTACAATAGTTTTCTAGCGTTCCCGCTAGTGAGCCTCCAGTTTATTACAATAATTGTCGAAATATCCTTGCAAACTTTTAACCTGAAATACTACCTACTTCCAAATTTAATGATCTACATCATCACCAGCCCACAGTCGTCTACTGCTAGATATAGGCCTCTCCCAATCCATACCACTGAGCCCGGTCTTCGGCTCTTCCCATCCACTTTTTGCTGGCTAGGTAGTGCGATGACCTCCGAACGGTGGCCGGCAATGATCTACATTATTGCAATATTTATAAATAGAAAATATGAAAAAATTATGGTAAGGCTTCTTAAAAGTGCAAATTTTATGGCTTAAGTATAAAAAAATAAAATAGAAGATTGATGATAAATTCAATTAACAAGACGCTTTCCTCATAAAGATTTATTTGATACATAAGTATCTTAGTTCTTATCATTTCTAAGTCGCCCTCGTGTCGACGTGACCAAACTGATAAGACTACAAGCTTTGTTGTGATAGCTGTGTTGTGAGCAATAAGATGTGAATAATTGGTGTATCGATGAGACAAAGTAACTTTTAATTATTGTCTAATCTCAATACTTTGTCATCATCATCAAATCAACTTGTCATGTAATTTGCATTTTAATGATTATAAAACTAAGTTCTGAACACAATGGATGACAAAATATACAAGTAAGTGCTTTCATAAATTTAACTGGTACATGAACAGAATACGTTAAAAGTTTAAAGTAGATTAGTTCTGTTAATGATTCCAAAACAAAACACATCTAACATCTCATGATGACAGTTATCTACGCTAATTATTCCTAATTAAGTTAAGTTCTCTTCACACTCCAAATTTAATAATTTCTAGCTAAAAGAGAAAAGTAGATTATTTATATATTGCTATTATGTACATACTTTATGGTTTTTTATTGGCATTGTTAAGTAATCGTTCTAATCTAAAGAGTGGAATATAATATTAATTGATTGTTTGGTGTAGGCCTAGAATAGCACAACTCCAACTTCCCGTGAATACAGCTAAGGGATAAAATTAAATTTAATGTGAACTCGAACTGGCATTTGTAGGTAGTAAGTCCGTATGGATAGGTTTAGTACCTAACTGACTATTTACACCACAAAGGAGTCTTATACTCCAGTTAGAAGAGAGGTACTGCCATGGTATAACCATTCAAACTTCGACGTGACGTAATTCCCTTCATTCAATGGGCACTGGTAGCCGCTTTACCATACCAAGGGCTATACGCTCATTTTTACCTTTAGACACAATTTTTGCATTTAGAACATTCAAATATTAAGTTTATTCTATGGGCGTGTAGTTAATATATAATAGTATGTATTAATAATATAATATTAAAAGATATTAAATGTATTTTAGTATATCTATGAGCGAGCATATGCTCGCTCATAGATATATTCACATTCACAAGATATATTCACATTCACAAGATATATTCACATTCACATAACAAAACAATAACAAAGTATTTTTAATTATGTACAATACTTACATGATTGTTTAATGCAAAGCATGTTTTTTGTTAAAAACCACTTGAGATAAAAGAGCTACCTATGAGACTAGCTACCTTTATTTTAATGGCATCGTTGTTGGATTGTTTTTACTTTTGACAGCAGACTTTAGATGCCGTTGTCAAAAAACTAAATATTTACCTTTTGCAAAACATTTCAAAACAGGTTTAATTTTGAAATAATTAACGAAAGACCGCACCCAACAATATTTTTTTACATCGGTAGGTATAGGCAGATAGATTGAGACTATCAAAAACATAACTAGTTTTTGCTAAAACTTACAATACGGGTGCAATGCAATATCCATCTTGATTCAAGCGTCGGCAAATAAATACAAGTAACTTTCAATGTAAGTTCATCTATTTAATGTTAGATAATTAGAATTTAAACTTATTATTAAATGAGCTAATTTCGTAGAACCTAAAATATATTATTTGTCGTGAAATAAGGTTTTGCTATGTGGTTTATGATAAAAAAGTCGGATTCATTGTGGAAACGTGGGACTGTAGTATAATAGACCCGACAAAATGTTAAAATAAAAATAGTACTAAATAGAAGTGTACATTTTTTTTAATTTCCGTGTACTACTATATATACCAAAAGATGTATAGTATAAAACTCAAGACGCAACTCATCAATGATATTTGACCAATAAGAATACATGGCAGGACATATATAATGATTATGGAATAGTTAAACTTAGTTTAGAAAGGTTTTATTGAAATTTTTTATTTGTCTTCCAGTCATGCAAGTTGCTCTAGTGTTCCTGATGAGGGAGTGATTTCAGTGGACCTGTCTAGAGATATAGTCGTCGACTCAATGACAGACATGACAGAAGCCATAATATCTCCTAATTTAATGTAAGGTTTGATATTAATTTAAATGAGCAAGAAATAATATTCAATACCAGGTATATGCCACTAGCCATTTACAGACATTATATCATATTTTAAGTTGCCACAGAGTAACTACTATCCCTCCCTTTAGACCAACATACAACATACTTGGAGAAAGGTTGCTATGCATCTTTAGAATATAATAAAAATACCATGTTTCATCATTCATCATCATTCATCAACAGCCCACAGACGTTCACTGCCGGACATAGGCCTCTCCCAATCCACACCACTGAGCACGGTCTGCGGCTCTCCTCATCCACTTCTTGCCGGCCACCGTGCGGAGGTCATCGCACCACCTAGCCAAGGGGCGTCCCACGTTACGTCTTCCGCTGCGCGGTCTCCACTCGAGGACCCGTCTGCTCCAGCGATCGTCAGTCCTACGGCATATATGGCCAGCCCACTGCCACTTCNGTATCATGCGGTGTCTTTCCAATCGAGCGTCTATGGTCAGCGTAGCTCTTACTAGCCGGTGATCGCTTCCGGTGTTAAACCTGTTGACCACTGAGACATCCCTAAATAGCCGTTTTTTATCCGCAATGATAAAATCAATCTCATTTTTCGTTACAGAGTCCGGGCTTCGCCATGTCCATTTTCTTTGGGGCTGCTTTTTTTTTTAATTTTTTTTTTTTAAAATACCATGTAAGAAGTTCATTTTATTATACTTTTTCTTTGCCTTAGACTATGCTAAGATTACTATCTTTATATGGAAATATTAAATAATATTTTTAAAAAACTTCATGTTATATATTTTCTAGGGAGTCTTGTTCCAAACTGATATTGCACCAGGGAGATTCTCCCTTAAGTATGAGCTACTAACCAATTTTTATTTATTTTATTACTTACATGGATGGGCAAGGTCACAGTCTCCCTGGGATAAAGTGTTTACCAGTGCCTAAAGTCGTCATCAATGTAATTGCTGCTGTTCATCTTAAATCAGAAATTATTCTCTACTATTATTCTCTAAATTATTCTCTACTCTTCTCTAAACTAGTCTTAGTGCTTTAGTATAATGACTAGAGTGTATAAGTAAGTATTATGTCTAATATTCATTAACCAGTTCAACTGACTACAGTGTGGACAATGAAGAGGACTCTACAAAACTGACTCTGGCCTATGAATGGCTGTATGAAGTGCCAAGGACAATAGTGGATAAATTTTCCAATCACATAAAATATTTGGATATAAGCCACAATAAAATTACGTAAGTTCGAATTATAATTCACATTGATAGCTTGAAATATGGAATTTGAGGAATTGTGACTCAAGCAAAGATTTTGTTATTATTATTATTATTGTTATTTTTCTATGTTTCCCCTTTCTCAGCCCAGTCTGTCGACAGAGCCGGCAGAACTGTATATACGGGCTTTTGGCAAAGTAACATACAGTAGCTATGAGTTATTAGGCTAGTTTTTATTATGTGTAGTATTCTTCAAGCTGCAGGAACTTTCTCACTATTCTGCATGTATTTAGTATAGCTGCTTTTTGTAGTGAAATAAATATGTTATCATTTAAATCTAGAAGCTTTAAGCTGTTGTGGATGTGGTTTGGGACAACTCCACTGGTTGAGATTATTATTGGGGCTATGTAAACTTTTTTCTGTTTCCAAATTCTAACTACAGTCAAAATCTGTTATAACGACATCGAAGGGACTGCTCATATTCAGTCGTAAAAACCGATAGTCGTAACAACCGGTAATGTTTTGAAGAAGCGGTCTTTGACTCTACTGCATGCACGTGTTTTGTTTCTAAGAATTAGAAAAGACCCTACACTAAACTAAATCCTATTGTTTTCTTTCCTGATTTTAATAGCCATTGAAGACAAATGTGGATACCTATTCAAATTGTTTACAATACAGCTTAGCCGGTCGTTTAAACAGATCTAATTCTCCGAAATATTAGTTAAATGTGGTCGTTTTATGAGGTATGTCGTTATAAGCAATGTCGTATAAAGCAATGTTTTTAATAAGGCGGTCATATGGCATTCAGCCGGGACCTTTGTTCTAGGTTGTTATAACCGGCATGTTGTTCTAAACGATGTCGCAGTAAAAGGTTTTGACTGTATTTCTTCTTTAAGCTCTGTGTATTTTGTCATTTTTTCTGTAAAAGTTTTTTATTATTATTATTATATTAATAACTTAAATGTAGAGATTTCTAACGTTAAAACTTGTAAAATGTTTTAGCTAAATGAAAATATCAAAGATTATTCAAGTCCCTTACTTTCTAGTTTAGTAGAAAAGGTTTCAGGAGTTAAACTATGTAGTGCTTACTCTAAAATAAATTGTTAATCTGTGTTTGTGTCTAACATCATGTCTGTTTTTCATTTTAACAGGAATTTAGATCCTCTAGTTCACTTCTTCCACTTATCATCATTGATAGCCGACCACAATCCTATCACGGAGAACTGTGCGCTACCACCATTACCGAAACTAGAATTATTATGGTAATTTCGTTATGTTATTTATTATTGATCACTGATGCTCATTAGCCTAACGTTATAAATGCTAAGAGTACAGCCAAGCCGCTGCCTACTACAGAACATCTCTGTTACTGGAATGGTATTTTCCTGTGGTGATTTTTGTGATTTTTTTTTTATTGCTAGATGAGTGGACGAGCTCACAGCCCACCTGGTGTTAAGTGGTTACTGGAGCCCATAGACATTTACGACGAATGCTAAGAGTACAGCCAAACCGCTGCCTACTACAGAACATCTCTGTTACTGGAATGGTATTTTCCTGTGGTGATTTTTGTGATTTTTTTTTTATTGCTAGATGAGTGGACGAGCTCACAGTCCACCTGGTGTTAAGTGGTTACTGGAGCCCATAGACATTTACGACGTAAATGCGCCACCCACCTTGAGATATAAGTTCTAAGGTCTCAAGTATAGTTACAATGGCTGCCCCACCCTTCAAACCGAAACGCATTACTGCTTCACGGCAGAAATAGGCAGGGTGGTGGTACCCACCCGCGCGGACTCACAAGAGGTCCTACCACCAGTAAAAAATTTGATCTTTAAACAACGAAGGAGTAATTCCTAAGATTGAGTATTGAATTCTTACATCAATAGTGACCACCATGCTTATTTTCACTATGAAAACAATATAACAATGATGCATTTTGATTTCAAGGATGGGATAGCCAATGTAGTAATGTAATTTTTACTACAATTTCCCTCTTGATGAGCTCCAGTAATGAATTAACATCATGTAGGTTCCTCTGCCCATTTTCCATAGAAAAAAACTGCTCATTTCAGGTTAAATCATTGTAAGATAGCCTCATTGTACCCATGGGTGGGTAAACTAAAGGAATCCTGCCCAAATTTGCAGTATCTATGCTTAATGGGCAATCCTGCTGCGCCCAGCTACTTCAATGGAGGAACTTTCTATGAATACTTGCAGTATAGGTAAGACTTTCATTAGATTTTGTAGTATAGTTAGAAAAAAAAGAGATATTTTTTCAGAACGACAATATCAAAGCAGGATGGAAGGCTTAACTTTATTTTATTATGTTAATAAAGAAAAATTATACAATTTTATATGCGTTGTAATAAATTTACCTCCGAAGCGAATTTCATGTACACTGTCCGGAATTTGTGTTCGTCCACAGTGCATTTTTGGGCCTCGTACCATCATGCTTTGGAATGAATTATCCTCCACATTATCTATGTCTAACCTGGCTGTATCCTTGGCTTAACGTCTATGAGGGACCGTGGCCAACGACCATAAGGCTTGCCCCTCACTTATGTCTTTGGAAGACAATAAAAAATATATGTGAATGCTTATTAACAAATTTAAACGGCTTGCTATGTGTTCGATAGAATGGATATTTGTGGAACGATTTTGTTTTCGTAGAACCATGTGCTCTCAATGTGGCTTCAATGTTAAGTTTAATTGGTGTACTTCAGTCGGTCAAATTTATAAAATTACTAGCGACCCGCTCTCGCTTCGCTTAGGGAACTGTAATTTATTATTGATAACAGTATTTCTCCACTATTTAATGGATGTTATTATTCATATAAACCTTCCTCTTCAATCGAACTATCTATTAAAAAAACCGCGTCAAAATCCGTTACGTAGTTTTAAAGATTTAAGCATACATAGGGATATAGGGACAGAGAAAGCGACTTTGTTTTACTATATATACTATGTTTCGGTAGGCAGCGGCTTGGCTCTGCCCCTGGCATTGCTGAAGTCCATGGGCGACTGTAACCACTCACCTTCAGGCGGACCGTATGCCCGTCTGCCTACAAAGGCAATAAAAAAATATATATATGTAGTGATAATTAGAAAATAAAATTAAAAATAAAACAGCATATTTGGTTACTTTACTTTACTTTAATTCTTTAATAGACAAGATGAGCTACAGCCCAGTAAAAATGTGTTTAAAGACGGTCGTTAAATACACTGTCAAAATCCGTTTGACTGTGTTCTTTGCCATTGGATGTCTATTTGATAATGTGTATGATATAAGCGAATATTAAATGGTCAATTTTAAACCTATAAAAATCGTAATGAATTGTTCCAGACTCTTCATTATATCTCAGTTTCAATCGTTAAATCATTTGGACGATAGAAAGGTCACCGACGACCAAAGGACCGAAGCCCTGAGGCTGTACAAGAGGCCTTTCTTGGAAAGGTTAGTGTCGCCCGGCTCCAGAGGTGGTATATCACAGCTGATGCAAGCCCCGGCTAAATGGAACACCGTCCACGGGAAACTCAACTCGTTGTGGAGCAAGGCCAAGAATCGGAACCTTTTGATATAAAGTTAGTGGTTTTATGAGCTCCTCCATTATTCGAAAAATACTTTGCCTGGATAAACTAATGGGTGGGACAGTTGATTAATTTACAGGAATCATTACAAGCGCCTTAACCCTTTTATGTTGAGTTTATTTTCATATTATTATATTTTGTAGAAATCGCTAAAGGATGGATCTCTGACAAAACAGTACATTACAAAAAAACTTTAATTTCAAAAAAAATATATACAGAAATCAATGTTAAATTCACAGAAAAATAATTTTAAATGGTTATTTATAAATGTTTTTAACTTATTAAAAACCTTATACATGCATGCGCTAAGACACGTCCATATAGGTCTGTACGTAATACCTTTAATCAAACTGCGCAATAGTCGGTATTTCGACGCTCCGCACTTTATACCCATTAATAGAGAAACGATGTATCTTGACGGATCGTGATCTAAAGGTTAAAGAGCGTCTATGTACACTTTAACAAAATATTTTACTTTTAATGATAAAAGATTGATTCGCTGCAGAATTGGTTGGGGGGGAGGGTTCTTGTAAATCCGCACGGGTATGTCATAGATAATACACATAAATTAGTTATAGATAAGATAAAATGTTTACGGGCGTCGGCCACTAGATGGCTTCGCTTCGATTAGTTTCTCATTGCTCCTGTAGATGGCAGTAACATATTACGTATACTTTATTTTTTTTTAATGAAGGATTTTGTAAATTTTCAGAAACTACAAATTGATAAAATGTAGTCAACTTGTCTATAACAAATACATAAATAAACACCTGTATGATTTATTATGTTTTTACTATATGATGTTTAGTTATACAATAATTAAATGCCTTAACTTTAACAACATATAAGTTTAGGGGCATCCGCTACAAGATGTCGATAGTTTCCATGCATAAAAAATATTTGTCTTGGGTATGTAAAACTACCCTCTCTATTTTTGCCGTGAAGCAATAATGCGTTTCGGTTTGAAGGGTGGGGCAGCCGTTGTACTGTAAAACTGAGGTAAAGGTACCTTGAGACGTGAATTTTAAGTCATTTATTAAGCAATAAAACAAATACTACAAGTTAGGTTGTGAATTTATTGTTACTTAAAATATTCGGTAAGGTTAACTGAAACCATCATTACTTCAGTGTCCTTAGTGCGAGCTTTTTAACGTTCTCGATAGCGTAAAAGTTAACTCAAATCTGTATGCAGTTGGAACAGCGCCCCTAGCGGCCAACGCAGGCAAAGGTTCCAACTCCATACGAGTTAACTTTTACGTTATCGAAAACGTTAAAAATCTCGCGCTAAGCTCGGTGTTTACCTATATGTATTTTTTATGTAAATAAATAAGTCCTTTATATTAATAAATACATTTTAATAATATCATCTGTTTTCTTTAATTAATAATTAGTTTAGCTTAAATCTATTACTTAAATAACTTTTTTAATTAAAACTAATATATATTGGCTAGCCTATGGGCCCTATATGAAAGAGCCTAATCCATTGCTTAAAATAGTCACATTGGAAGAATCATTGCCAACTTTACGGGTCCTCTGATGGTCATCATTATTTGCACCATCGCTTCCCTTACTGAGGAACGCGAAAATGTTTTTACTTCTAAATCCTATGAGACAAAGAATGAGTATGATGCTGCCTTATTCTATCAAACTCGGAAATCGAGGGGCCTCTTCGGCATGATGACATTTTAATCTCCGAATAAAGTTTGGACCTCTGGTCCTCCGATGGACATGAGTGACGGTGATTTATGACCAGGTAGACCGCAGCTCTTGTCCATGCTCTTTCCTCACTAATGATTGAAATGCCTACTTAAAACTTTCGCTCTAATGCTTTGGTTTTTAAACTTTATTGCTAGGTCGTTGGACGAGCTCACAGCCCACCTAGTGTTAAGTGGTCACTGGAGCCCATAGACATTTACAACGTAAATGCCGCCACCCACCTTGAGATATGAGTTCTAAGGTCTCAGTTTAGTTTCAACGGCTTCCCCACCCTTCAAACCGAAACGCACGGCCGCCCCATCTTACAAACCGAAATGCATTACTGCTTCACGGCAGAAATGACCAGGGTGGTGGTACCTACCCGTGCCGTCAGACAAGAGGTCCTACCACCAGTCCAAATAAACATGTAGAATTTTCGCGCTAATCGATCGAATTAATATTTTCAATCCACGGAGGGTAAAACTAAGGAGCACTATCTCAGTGTATTAAAAAGTGTTCGCTCTAAGGGAGCCAATTAAGGTGGCGCCACCGTAGCAAGTGGAAGGATTTTAAAAACTGCGCCATAAACTTTAACCTTTGCTGATATCCCCGAGAGGCTATTTCAGCTTCACCCTAACGTGTAGATGAGCTCACGGGGCTTAAATCGGAGTGGTGCTAACATTGGTCCTAGCAAGAGCAGTGCTTCGCACCGGATCGGAAACGCGACCCACTGAGAAGATCCGGCAAGAAACTCAGTGGGCTGTGTCTATGGGTTAATTCGCTCGTTAGGCTCTTCGTCGCAAGCGACGGGTTCGACGACTTCACTTTATTTAAAACTGCGATATTCATATCATTTCCACTTGCTACACTAGCGATATTTCGATGAGTCCTCCAACAATACTTATTGTTTACATATGGACATATTTTCAACTTGTCTCATATACAAGATGGTGCTCTTTACCTCTATCCTCCATAGTTCAATCGAACAAATCTAAAATTTGTTTCTTCCACGCCGTCAGATCCACGTAAGGTATGGCCTCATAGTCGTCGCATCTATATTTGGGGTTGTACGTAGATTCCAGCTCGAAGGCCTTCTTCTGAACGTAGTAGACTCCGTCGGTGTTGTCGCAAATTACACGGGCCAGAGAAGTTTTCTTTATTTCTTTCAGTTGATCTGAAAAATGACATAATATCACTAGTAAAATACGTCGGTAAGAGTAACGCCTAAAAATCTATCGCCAAATAGTCGAACGAACATCGACGAATCCAGAATGCTCGAGAATTACAACGCCATCTATTGACAGGTCGCGGAAACTGCTACTAGAGAGGTGTGGAACATTCTCGATAATTCTAGGGATGTGATATCGGCTATAAAAGCGTTGTAGGAATGGCACGCAGTCAGTAACTCCTCAAACCGGAATCGCCGGGAGTCGAGCTGGGAGATGACGACTTAGTCACTCCCAGCGAGGTGCGCCTCCTCATCATGTTGATGAAGAGGCGCAAAGCCCCCGGCGAGGACGGTATTCCTCCCCTCGCCCTACAAAACCTCCCTCCCTCAATCGTGTCAGCAATGACACGATTGTTTAATTCCATTCTCCGGGTAGGACACTTCCCTGGAACTTGGAAACTGGGCAAGATCATCGTCTTGCCCAAACCCGGCAAAGACAGGAGAAAGCCCTCCAGTTACCGACCGANAAAAAAAAAAAAAAAAAAAAAAAAAAAAAAAAAAAAAAAAAAAAAAAAAAAAAAAATATGGAGGAGAGCAGCAGCCGCCCCCGGAAGAAGGGAAGAAAGAAGAAGAAGAAGGAAGAAAGAAGAGAAGAAGAAGAAGAAGAGAAGAGTGAAGAAAAAAGAAGTCGACCCCACACATAAAATCACGCCTGCCTGATACCCCATCCAGCAGTGCATCACCCCTGCCTTATTAGGCAGGGAGCTACATGTCCGGGCAGAGGGGTTTCCCCGAGGCCCGCTCCGTGCCCCCCCTAAGGGGGTACGACGACCCCACGACACGCAGTCAGTCAGTAATCGGAACTACTCGAAGCGAAACAGAACAAGCGAATTGAGAGTTTTAAAGTGTTTGTTGAGTGGTTTAAAGTGTTTGTGAAGTGTTCAAGTGTTTTAAGTGTTGAATACAGTTTTAAGTTGTACTTTGGTGGAACATTTATTTATCCCGAACCCTCAGCGCGTAACAATACTTATATTAAGGAAACTAGTTATAAAAAAATCGTCTTACAAGTCTACGTCAACTTCGATGTCGATTCTGAGACAAAAAAATTAATTTGCGAGCCTTCTTTGCGTCTAGTGTACTTAGTGCGAGTTTTTTAACTTCTGGATCGCGTAAAAGTTAACTCAAATTTATATGGAGTTGGAACAGCGCCCCTAGCGACAAACGTAGTGACGTATTGTTTGTAGCGCAAAACCAATGTTAAGGCACACCGTTGACGGTTGAACCTTAGTCACATATTCGTTAAGATGAATAATTTTACTGGTGGTAGGACCTCTTGTGAGTCCGCGCGGGTTGGTACCACCGCCCCGCCTATTTCTGCCGTGAAGTAGTAATGCGTTTCGGTTTGAAGGGTGGGGCAGCCGTTGTAACTATACTTGAGACCTTAGAACTTATATCTCAAGGTGGGTGGCGCATTTACGTTGTAGATGTCTATGGGCTCCAGTAACCACTTAACACCAGGTGGGCTGTGAGCTCGTCCAACCATCTAAGCAATAAAAAAAAAAGAAATAAAAAGTTCAGTACTAACCTGAACTAAAAGAATGAGGCATTTCTCCGTTGTCGTAGAAGAATCTATCGCCGATTCTCGTTCTGTAGAACTGTTCAGCGACTATGCAGTGAAAAGTGTGACCGAATATCGAACCCTGAACGTCGCGTTCCAGAGATCCGCCGACAAACAAGTCTATGTCGTCCACGCACTCGTAGAGACGGGCCAGGGCGTTGATACGCTAGGAAATTACAACATTTTACGATTACGATAGGCAGCAGCTTGGCTCTGCCCCTGGCATTGCTGAAGTCCATGGGCGACAGTAACCAGTCACCATCAGGCGGGCCGTATGCTCGTCTGTCTACAAGTGCAATAAAAAAAACGAATTTGCCAGACATTCGATCTAATAGAATGTATCCATTGAAAAAAGAAAATTTTAGAGTCGAATCGTTAATTGTTATCTAAAACAGCTTTCCCACTCTTCAATCTGGAAGGCACGACAGCGGTAACATTCTCAACCGCTCCACCACCAGTGGTGATAAAAATGATTTTTTTCAATTATTAGTAAAAAAATTACATGTGTGCAATTCACACGTGGTAGAAGTGAAACCTTCCAAAATTAAAATACAATTATCCTAAACGTCTTAAGTATATGTAAAATTTTGTCATTAGTAAATAATTGTAAGGTAGCGCCCTCTGTGAATTGATATTTTAATTTCACGTATAACCCTAAATTAAAATTCACTACAAGAGCTTTCATACACACGTTAGTATTAAAAAATCNCCTTCCAAAATTAAAATACAATTATCCTAAACGTCTTAAGTATATGTAAAATTTTGTCATTAGTAAATAATTGTAAGGTAGCGCCCTCTGTGAATTGATATTTTAATTTCACGTATAACCCTAAATTAAAATTCACTACAAGAGCTTTCATACACACGTTAGTATTAAAAAATCTCACAGATGGCGCTGTATTAAATAGTAGGTATGTATATTTCTGTCTCATTCTTTGCTGGCTTCATCCTACACATTTTTGTATCTGTGTCTCTTACCTGTCGTTTTTTCCGTTGCATCCGGTTTGAAATCACAACGATTCTAAAGAAGTTTTCACTTCAAAAAAACTGATTGCCCTTGTAGATAGGTACTGGTGATAGGACCTCTTGAGAGTCCGCGCGGGTAGGTACCACCACCCCGCCTATTTTTGCCGTGAAGCAGTAATGCGTTTCGGTTTGAAGGGTGGGGCAGCCGTTGTAACTATACTGAGATCTTAGAACTTATATCTCAAGGTGGGTGGCGCATTTACGTTGTAGATGTCTATGGGCTCCATTAACCACTTAACACCAGGTGGGCTGTGAGCTCGTCTACCCATCTAAGCAATAACAAAAATAAAAAAGGTAGACGAGCATACGACCCACCTCGTGGTGAGTGGTTACCGTCGCCCATGGACTTCAGCAATGCCAGGGGTAGAGCCAAGCCGCTGCCTACCGTTAGGTACTCCACAAGCCTCGTTTGAAGAAGGACGTCATATTCTTCAATTCCCTAATTGTTACGTATATATGTATTATGAATCAATACAAACTTCAAGTAAAATACTTACGTCTTGTGTGATTTCTCCCGCTAAATCTTGGAAACACCTCGCCTTTCGAAGGCCACAGATTTCCCTGTAATCGTATTTTAGAAATATATTGGATAGTTAAATAACTTTTATGTGAATAAATATTATTGACTATTTTCTTTATGAAGTGATGCATAAAAGTTTTCCTAAATATTTGTAAGACTCGGGTGCGATGTGTTGTAACTATGGTAAAATATTTCTATTGAATATATTTCTATACCTATTGGTGTGATTTTTTTTAATACTATAGGCACCAGCTTCCCTTAACAGTGTATATTAAACTAGAAAACTAATTTAAAGGGACAACGACAATTGTAAACATTTGCAAAAAGCATATTACGTTACGTACAAACAAAACTACAATTACTTTTATAAATTAGAACATCGCTTCTATCTTTTTCACTATTCACATTGAAAGCCGAGTGAATTTAAAAGCAAAAATTACTCACATTAAATTCGATACTAATGCTTACAGGAATAATGAATATGGGCACAAAATTACCTACGAGCGTCTTGCAAAAGCTAATACTCTTTTTTTCTTATTACCCTTGTAGACAGATGGATGGGTCTACGTCCCACCTAGCTGTGGTTATAGACATCAGCAATACCAGGGGCAGAGCCAAGCTGCTGCCTACCGTAATCCATTCTTAACACACTGAACGCCATGTGAAAAATCGAGTATTTTCATTCAGGACACGGTGCTCACCGGTGAGCCTTTTAAGATATCCAAACTAGACGGTAAAAGTCGCTAATCTTTATCTTCCATTCAATTTTTTTATTGCCTAGATGGGTGGACCAGCTCACAGCCCACCTGGTGTTAAGTAGGTACTGGAGCCCATAAAAATCTACAACGTAAATGCCGCCACCCACCTCGAGATATGAGTTCTAAGGTCTCAGTATAGTTACAACGGCTGCTCCACCCTTCAAACCGAAACGCATCACTGCTTCACGACAGAAATAGGCAGGATGGTAATACCTACCCGCGCGGACTCACAAGAGTAATTACGCCAATTATAATTTTGTGGGTTTGATTTTTATTACACGATGTTATTACTTCACGGCGGGTGTTATAAAATTATCGCATTTTATAAATTTTATAATGAAAATCTCAAGTTTGTAATAATTACTAATTCCCTGATTTTGGCTTGGCCCGAATAATATAGTACGCTAGGCCCACCGGTGGCTCCTAAAGCTTACAACGTTTTAACAAACCTGTAATCGTTATAAGAAGCCAGCCCATGGTCCCGACCTCGCTGTATATCCGTAGCAATCAAATCCAGACCCCATCGATTATACGATTTAAACATTAAATTAGTTAATTCGCCACTGACAAAAGGGTCCGCCTCGGCCGAGTAATGACACACTGAGCCTCTGACGACATCGTCGAAGGCCTCCGAAGATGTTTCTAGAATGCTTGGGTTAAAATAGTGGTCACTTAATCTGCAAAGACGGGACTTCATTCATTATTCATTATGATTACTTCTCGATGAAAGAAAATTTAAATAAAATACATTAACAAATCGATATCGTGTTAAATTATAAAATTATTGTTTTACGCCTTTTGATCTTGTCTTAGTGTTCCTTTATGTAGGTAAAATTAGAAGACACTACAAAAATGACTCTTAATTGTTTTAAAATGTCTGAGATAAATCTTACATTGACTACTAGATTGATACTTGCATAGGTATATCAAGAAAGATCAAAGGGCCGGCTAGTTAGACTCAAAAAATAATAATCTTTATAGTCAGTTAATAATGTAAGGTTTTATGTTACTAACATAGAATATAAGTAGTACTAACAAAATGTATGATTTTTACTGAAATAAAAAAATATTATTATTTATTACTGGTGCAAGTATCAAGGGACGTACGGTTTAACCTAATAGACCAGTGTGCTTAGTGCGAATTTTTTAACTTCTCGATCGCGTAACAGTTAACTCGAATCTGTATGGAGTTGGAACGTTTGCCTACGTTTGCCGCTAGGGGCGCTGTTCCAACTCCATACAAATCTGAGTTAACTTTTACACGATCGAGAAGTTAAAAAACTCGCACTTAGTACAGAGATCGGGGCAGTTTTTTTTTAATTTTTTTTATCGCTTAGGTGAGTGGCCGAGCTCACAGCCCACCTGGTGTTAAGTGGTTACTAGAGCCCGTAGACATCTACAACGTAAATACGCCATTCACCTTAAGATATAAGCTCCAAGGTCTCAAGTAAAGTTACAACAGCTGCCCCACCCTTCAAACCGAAACGCATTACTGCTTCACGGCAGAAATAGGCAGGGTGGTGGCACCTACCCGTGCGGACTCACAGGAGTTCAGTGTCGGACATTTAATATAGTTTAATTGTGCAAAAACTCATTCGGAACCTGTGTAAATAGGCGGCATTATAGCCAGAGGGACAGGTCATGATCGTGTCTGGTACGACAGAGTGCATGAAACGAAATGCGGCCGCTCCGAAGCTATTGATAATACCGGGATTCACGTCCTCGTTATAGTCTCTGCTGTACAGGCTCGACGGAGATATGCGGTAATATCGAACGTAGTTCTCACCTGGATATGAAATAAATAAACAAAACAATGTTTTTGAAGTATTTTAAGGTTAAACATTTTTGCGCACGCTTGACTTGAAGAGTAAGCTGATGAATGCGTGGGAAAGCGTTAAGAAGAGTATGATCGGGAGAGGCGAACGGAAGTTGAAAGTGAGATATAGGTAAGTTAGTGAATAGAAATTTTTATTTAAAAAAAATATGCATAAAAATATTTTACGCTATTTTTATGCTATTTTAACGTAAATATCACAATGCAGATGGTAATCAGAACAACATTACGGATCCTCCCGATATATTAATGGTGCGTTTAGGTACCTCAAGCAACGGTCACCATTCTCGCCGAATCCGTCGCTTGCGACGAAGGGTTCGACAAGTAAGCTAACCCACAGCCCACTGAGTTTCTCGCCGGATCTTCTCAGTGGGTCGCGTTTCCGATCCCGTGGTAGATTCTGCGAAGCACTGCTTTTGCTTGGGCCAGTGTTAACAACACCTCCGGCTTGAGCCCCGAGAGCTTGAGGCCGAGCTTTAACCCTACACGCTAAGGTAACGCTGATATAGCCTTTCAAGGCTATCAGCATAGGTAGAAGGATTGAAAACAAAACAATGCAACAAACAAAAGCGACACTAACTCTAACTCGCCATTTTGTCTGGACACGGATTAAATTACTAGCTTAACAAAGACTTACCTAAATTAGCCGGCAGCCATTCCTGGTAAGTGATATGTTGTATCTCAGCTATAACGATCTTTCGCGTCTCTTGATACAGTTTTTCGTCGCTCCACAACGGGTTCAGTTCGCTTAAAATATCCGCTATCCTGTTGTGCTCTCTCAGGAATAGTGTGTGCAGCATGGCCAAGGTGGGAGTTTGGTTTACGCGGAGGTCACCTGTTAAAGCAATTGATAATCGAGTTGCCGAAAATTCTATGATTATAATTTCTTAAGATGTCATGGCTTAAAGGATAAGACGGCCGGTTTATTACACATTTAAACCTGAAGAAACACTAAATAGACAAAAAAAAAACAAATCAAACAACTTCACTCCTCACGTTCCCGCCAAAAAGTCCTGTTGAGAATAAAATTTAACTTGCGCAGATTCTTTACGGCTAGAGAGAAAACATATAATTTAGGACGAGCGAGAGTGAGAAAATAGGCAGAGCGTCTCGCGAACCACTCGACCTTGGAGAGAGCGAGGAGAAGGCGAGCTATGTCGTTTCTTATAAACAAAAGAAGTTTCACTTCTTTCACGTGCACGAAGCTGCACGCACACCATTTTTTTTTAATTGTCAGTGTCAGTTGACGAGTCTACTGTCCTCTTGACAGTGAATAGTTATCGCCGTCCACAATGCCAGGGTCGCAGTAAAGACGCTGCATCATTATTAAATATCTTTCAAAGAGTCAATAAATCATAAATACAAAACCTGAAAAGTAGCACGGCTCCGAGGAGTTCCTCAAGTCGCATGAGGTCGATTTGTCGTCGACCGACGGGAGAAATCCACGACAAGAGTCCTTCTTGTTGACTTGTCGAAGTTTCCCGTTTTTCTTGCTTCTAAGCTTCATTGAGGTTTTCTTGTCCGAGCCGTAAATCGTTGAGCCGTCTAGGAAACTGGTCACTGCGTTCATCTGAGTTCATTAGAAATGGTTATTAAGTCACAACGTCACGTTGCTTGGAAGGGTAAAAGTCCTACCTGGTGATCGATGGTTGGCATATAATGGCAAGATGGTAGTACCAACCCGCGCAGACTCAAAGAACGCCCTACCACAAGTTAGCACCCTCATTAGCTATATTCTTTTCGAATATATTTTTCTTTGTACACAATTTTATTCCTTGAGCGTCATTCGGGAGGAAAGTGTGTAAATAGCAATCGACACCTGCGGGATTCGAACACGGACACAGCTCGATATTAAGGCACCGGGCGTCTTAACCTTTAGGCCACGACGACTTCAGGTATTGTATAACGGGCGATCCACCATTCAGGTCGCAGACTTTTATCCCTATCACCTATTGTGCCATGAGCTCCTGTGTCCGTTTTTTATCGCTTGGATGGGTGGACGAGCTAAGGGGCCACCTGGTGTTAAGTGGTTACCAAATCTCATAGATATCTACAACATAAGTGCCGCTACCCACCTTGATACAAGAGTTCTATAGGTTCTCAGCAACATTACAACGGCTGCTCCACCCTTCAAACGAAACTATTTACTGCTTTTCAACAAAAATAGGCAGGGTGGTGGTACCTACCCGCGCAGGCTCACCTGTTCAGCGGGTCCTAATGTACAGTCTTCTCTTGGAGCGGTGATACTGCGCACCATATTCAAGCACTTAATGCCATAAGACCGGTAGAATGGGTCATCGTCGGGCACGCTGATCGGTATGCATTTATCGTTCAGCCACTCCGGTGGTAGGACTCCTTGGCCGTCACCAAGACAACACTGTATACCGCCTTCGTCTTTAACAAATTGTTATTCAACCTTTTTTAGGTATTTAAATATGTATAGGATTGGTAAGAACGGAACGTAATGAAAGAGTGTGGAACGAAACGTTAAAGTGTGAGTGAGAGGAAACGGTAAGAAGGAGAAAAGAGAATGACAGACAGACATGGCAGAGAAAAACAAGATGGCGAAGACGATTGAATGAGCAAAGCGTAAAAAAGGTGTCAGATAACTTTTTATTATCATAATACAGAAGAATTGAGAAAAGAACAATAAATGTAAAAAAAAAGGAATACAGTATGCATGTAATGTAGTCTTATTTTATATGCCACGGTCCCAGTTCTATGTAGAATATAAATATTTTATGTAGAAATCATTTGATTTAAATATTGCGGAATTAATATTCACATCAAAGAGTTAATTTAATGCAAGTAACAATAATACAAACATAAGTAATTGAACTTCACATAGTTTAAGTCGTATGGGTCATAATAGGTTGGGAAAAAGTATTTTCGCATTATAGTATGTATGAACTTGTAATAAAATCTCTTTGGCTATAATATTTGTATTTGGCTGGTTTTGGTATCATTAAAAGTTTAAATTTTAAAGAAGATAATACAAATTAGGAAAATGTGTGATTTTTATTTATTTTTCGTACTGTCAAGATGAGTGAATCTAATTAAGAAATTCGGTACATTTTAAAATTTTACTACAAAAAAGGTAAAAATGCAACGCAAGCTGCGAAAAAAATTTGCGATGTTTAGACCTCGTGCAGTGTTTGTGAGAGTAGCACAAATTTCGTTCAAGCGTTTTCAATCCGGAAAATTTTGATGTCAAAGATGCACGTTGCTCTGGTCGCCCTATTACGGATAAAATGGATGCCATTTTTGAAAAAGTGGAGCAAGATCGGCATATCAGTAGTTACGACGTGGCTAAAGAACTGGGAATTGACCACAAAACAGTTTTGGTGCATTTGAAAAAACTGGGTACACAAAAAAGTCCAATATTTGGGTACCTCACGAGCTCACTGAAAGAAACCTAATGAACCATGTACTCATTTGTGATTCTTTATTACGACGTAATGAAACCGAACCATTTTTGAAGAAGCTGATAACTGGTGATGAAAAGTGGATCACGTACGACAAGAACGTGCAATAAAGGTCGTGGTCAAAGGCCGGTCAGGCTTCAAAGACTGTGGTTAACTCGCAACAAGGTGATGCTGTGTGTGTGGTGGGATGGGAAGGGCATTATTCATTATGAGCTGTTACCACCAAGCAGGACCATCGATTCTGATCTCTACTGCGAACAACTGATGAGATTAAAGCAAGAAGTTGAGAGAAAGCGGCCGGAATTAATCAACAGAATGGGTGTGGTTTTTCATCATGATAACGCTAGACCTCACACATCTTTAGCCACTCAGCAAAAATTAAGAGAGCTTGGCTGGGAGGTGTTAAGCATCCGCCGTATAGCCCTGACCTTGCACCTTCAGATTTCCCCAGTTTCGGTCTCTTCACAATTCTTTAGGCAGTGTCAGGTTAACATCACGAGAGAACTGCCAAAACCAATTGTCGCGGTATTTTGATCAGAAGCCCCAAAATCTCTATAGCAATGGGATCATGTCCCTACCTACAAAATGGCAAAAAGTTATCGAACAAAATGGTACCTACATACTTTAGTTAAATGTAAATAGAGTATTATAAAAAATGTTGTGAATTTTCTTAAAAAATGCGAAGAAACTTTTCCCCCAACCTTAAACAATGAACCAGACTATAATCATAAGGTAAGCATCTATATTTACGTAACGATGTCTATGAGTTCCATAAACACTCAGTGGTGAGTTAGCTGTATTTTCGTCATCCCAAACCATCATCATCATAGTTGATGCCTGTCCACTGTTCACTGCTGAAGTAGGTCTGTCCAATTGATCTTGAGTGCGGCTGGTCCGTTGCCACATGCATCCAATGTGACCCATCAATTTTTTCTAGGTCGTCGGTAAATCTGGTAGGTAGCCGTTCCACACCGTTCTAGCAGTAGGTAGCGGCTTGGCTCTGCCCCTGGCATTGCTGAAGTCCATGGGCGACGATAACCACTCACCTTCAGATGGGCCGTATGCTTGTCTGCTTACAAAGGGAATAAATAAAAAACAAAAAACACTGCGCTAGCCAATACATGGTCTCCACTCGAGGATCTTTCTGCCCCATCAGCCGCCATCCTAAATACTTAGAGATAATTTACCAGTGACTTCCACAGCTTTAGAGACCATGTCATGAGTGATAAATTGACCCCATTGCATGTTGGCGTGAGTGAATACCCGACTAGGGATACATCGGTCGGTGAAGAGACGAGTTGAGAGTGTACGAGGGTTGGGAAGTTCTCGGCCACTTCTCGCCAGCGGCATCGAATAAATACCTAAAAAAATAAGACATTAACTTTAACATTAAAATTGTTTATTAAAATTCCTTTAACAACGATTTAATTTTTATTTAAGTACTAGTAGTAGTACTTCGTAGTGCCTCAATCGATAAATAAAAGATCGACGGGGGACACATCAAAGGAAAAACAAAATTGTTATTTTTATTTGATTCCGAGCATTTTCATATTTATCTACCTTTTAAACCTTCTCTGGACTTCCACAAATAATTCAAGACCGAAATTAGCCAAATCGGTTCAGCCGATCTCGAGTTTTAGCGAGACTAACGAACAGCAATTCATTTTTATATAAAGAGATTTTTATTTTCGTCTATAATCATACAGAGCATATGCAAAGATTGGCTTAATTGAGATATTAGTTTACGTGCAGCAATCCACTTATGCTTAATGTGAAATAAAACACCGATAGCCTTAATTAAATAAAATTAAATAATTAAATTAACAATCTAAATATTTAACCCTTTGAGCGCGAACAGTCGATTCAAAGAGTATATAATCACTACGTTATAAGTCGATTGAGCGACAATTGATGAGTATAAAGTGCGGAGCGTCGGAATTCTAGGAGTGTGTAATATCGGTTGTGACGCGTATCTAATCGTATCTATATTTTTTTTTTTATGATTGAAGGATTACTGGTGGCCCGGAGGCCTTTCCAGTTTCACCAGGACAGGTGGGCGAGCAAAGGCTCAGCCAGGAGGGGTGGGATTTGCTAACAGCTACCCGAGCGCCTCCGAACGAGACCTAACAGCTCAAGAGTAGCTGCTTCGCGAATGAATCTACTACCGGATCGCAATCGCGACCCACTGAGAAGATCCGGCGAGAAACTCAGCGAGCTGATTCATGGGTTAGGTTGCACGGCGAACTCTTTGTCGAGTTCGACGAGTACGGTTACCGAGGTCCCTAAGCCTGCTCCTAGTGTTAGAGCTGAAGGCGTCTAATGCAAAAGTTATTGGATCCGATGGATCCGTAAGGACGTGTCTAGGGCGTCGACGGTGACTGGCTCCTGCGTGATCAGGATTCGGGGAGTAGTCAGCGGCGGCAACGATAAGGCGATTATCATGACGCATAGCCTTATCGAAGTACCGTTCCGACGCTGACTTCATGTATTTCTGGATAGATTCGAGGCCCAGGTCGTCGTGTAGGTCAACGTTCCTCACGAACCACGGAGCTCCGACGGCTAACCTGCAAAAGCGGGATTGTAGAGATTGGAGGGTGTCTATGTGTGTGCGGGCCGCGTGAGCGAACACCACACTCGCGTAAGTCATGACGGGCCTTATGCAAGTTTTGTAAAGTGTCACCTTGTTCCGAAGGGACATTTTACTCCGCTTACAGATCATGGGGTAGAGTCTACCGAGAATAAACGCGGCACGGTCACGGACTGATTTTATATGCGGGCGGAATGTCATCGATGCATCCAGGGTAACGCCCAGGTACTTGACCTTCCTGGCCCAGGGTATGGGTTGTCTAAAGAGAGTAATCGGGGGTGTGAGATTCCTCCTCCTAATCCGGGAGGAAATCCGTGTGGAGCTTCCCCTCTGAAATAGCACCGCAGTACTTTTCGCTGGGTTGATGTCTATGCGCCATTTTCGGAACCACTGTCCTAGGGCTAGGGCTGCGCTCTGAAGCTTCTTCGCGATTAGGGACTTATTTCTACTAGAATAGTAAACAGTCGTGTCGTCGGCGAATAAAGCTAAATGGGTCGGCGGCGACCGGGGAATATCGTTGACGAATAAGCTAAATAGGAGGGGTGAGAGGACAGAGCCTTGCGGGACTCCAGCTGTGAGAGGTCGTGGGGAGGAGCGGGTTCCCTCGACTCGATATCGAAAAGAGCGGTTCGACAAGAAGTCCCGTATGATGAGCACGAGACTATCCGGCACGCCCATGTTGAATAGTTTGAAAATCAAACCATTGTGCCAGACTTTGTCGAACGCTTTTGCGACGTCGAAGAAGAGAGCTCCCGTGTATAACGGTTTTGGTCGATTAAGCCCCACAAGAATGTGCTCCGTGAGGCGGTGCACCTGTTGAACGCATGAGTGATTTGTACGGAATCCGAATTGTTCATCGATGAGAATGCCCTTGGATGAGACGAAGTCTCTGAGGCGTTTGTAGAGCAGACGCTCATACAGTTTGCCTAGAGACATGAGGAGGCTAATCGGGCGGTAGCTCGTCGGATGATTTTTTGGTTTACCGGGTTTATGTATGCCGATAACGTCCGCTTCTTTCCACACCGCGGGAAAGATACAGTTCGCCATAGCGGCATTGAAAATAGATGCCAACATCACGATGAGTTGGACGGGTAGAAGTTTAATAACGCGGTTGGATATACCGTCGGAACCGGGAGCCTTGCGAGGACGTAGGTCTTTGATCAAGTCTTTAACTTCCATCGGGGTGACGGGTGGTAACGCATCCGAGGGTGGCAAGGAGGCTCTGCGTTCTACCTCACTGTCTACTAATTCTACATGAACAGGGTCCACGGATTGAGTGCTGGGCGTGCACTGGGTTTGCAATGTATCGGCCAGCAGCTCTGCTTTTTCGTCATCATCGAACGCCGCGAGTCGGCCTGAGGGGCCTACGAGGGGGGGCATAGTTACTACCGTATCCGATTTGAGAGTACGAGCTAAGCGGTAGTAAGACCTTTGGGAGGGCGCGAGTCCTTCTAAGAAATCAGACCATCTGGCATCTCGGACTTCGGCGATGCGAGACTTTACGTCGCGTTGTAGGGCACGCATTCGAATACGATTTTCCGCGGTAGGATACCTGTCGTAGGCGCGTATCGAGGCGTTCTTAGCTCTAAGGAGTTCCCTAATATCGTCGGACAATTTGAAGCGGTGAAGGAAGTCCTCCGCTACAACTTGTTTCGATGACCTATCTAATGTCGAGGTGATGTGTGACGTTAAGATGTCTATGGCTTCAGCGGTATCCTGAGGAGACGGGATAGAGTCCGGGTTAAACGGGAGCGATGGTGGATCAGATTCAGCCAGGCTGATGCCCAGCGTGTGCCAATCCACCACAGTCCTCGTGACGGGAACGGAATCGGGAGCGCGACCGAGCTTCATAACGACGGGACGGTGGTCTGAATCTAACTCTGAAACTACTTCGATCGAGTGTAAGCGCAGAGTTACGTTTTTTAATAACGCTATGTCGAGTATATCCGGGCGATGCGCGATATTTAGCGGGTAGTGAGTCGGGGTTAGCGGAGCGACGATATCGAAGGCGAGATCATCGACTAACGCGTCAAGCCGCCTGCCATTCGGGGTTGTGGTGTGTGAGTTCCACCTGATGTGTTTACAATTTAGGTCGCCCGCCAGAATGACAGAGCTCCCCATACCGAGCAGCGCCTCGATATCACTGCTTAGAACGATCTTATCCGGTGGAAGATAAACGGACGCGATAACGATCGGCGCGTGTCCCGTCAGTGAGATTCGGCACACTGATGCTTCGATATTAGCGAGCGCGGGAGGATCGAGCGGGACGCAATGCAGGGCTCTTCTATAGTAAATGACGGTACCACCACCACGGGCAGAGAGCCTGTCGTTCCTGACCATGTTATAGTTCGCGATTTTAGGGTCACGGCGCGCGGGCTTAAGTAGGGTCTCCTGCACTAAAAAGATATCAATTTGATGGTCACGCAAAAAGTCAGAAACCTGATCACGTTGATTTGCGAGACCGTAAGCGTTAAAAAATCCTATCGTTACGGATAGGGGCTTTATTCTACTTCGTATCTATATATCGATATATATCTGATATCGAGTATCGACTCGATATCGGATATTGAATCTATTGGATGGCTGCTAGTAGATTTTCTTGATTCATGATATTTGAGATTTGAAACGATACGAAGATTTAGTAGATTCAAGTCAACGTCATACGGTTGGTTTTCTGTTTCTGATATCATTTTATTATATGATTTTAAAGTCATAAAAATAACGTGAAAATAAAAATATCAAAAATACTTTCCTTCATACTTTTACTAGGCTTTTGCTAGGCTACATTATTTTCAGTTTTTAGTATTACGTGTCTTAACTTAAAATTACAAAATATACCAAAATGAGTGTTGATTAGAAGACTGATGTAGAATATTTCATATTGCTAAATACATATATTTTAGGTCACATTCGCGACTTCGTCCGCGTGTATTAGCTTAAAGTGAGTGAGTACTTCCTAGCTAAAGTCTCGAGAAAACATTGCAGGCGTATTTAGAAGTTAATTTGATAATATTTACATATTATTCTCTGTTTACATATTTTACATTTTTATAAAATCTTTTTACACAGTTAATTTTTTACAGATCCTACATGACTAAAATTATAATTCAAATCTTTTTGTACAAAGGTTTACATTTAAAAATGTAAGCTGCTTCACTTTTGATGATGAGAGCCGAGTTCGTCGATCATTTATAATCCATCCAGTTTTACTAAAAATTCTCTCGCATTGAACCGACGTTGCCATGATATTGCCATATCTTTTAAAAAGTTTCGCTAGATTAGGATATGTGAATTTATGTTTACGCCACCATTCCAGTGGACAACTCCAAGTCGTCCCCTTGAAAACGGGTAAGACATCATCTTTTAGGTATGTGTCAATTTCCTTTATGGCTTTTGATAGTGGAGTTCCAACGGTCTGTTTTTGACCAACTATTTCACTAAGGATGGCCCACGGAGAGAATTTATCGGCTTCGTGGTGTTCGGAAATCGAGGCATGAACCTGATCTTGTGCAGACTCCTGATTCTCCTGTAGTATGATTCCCATCAAAAGATCTTGCACACGTTTTTTGGTGTTTTTTGCTTCATTTTCGTCAGAAAATACGGCCAGCTTGTACCTTGGATCTAGGAATGTACACACAGAAAATGTTTCACTTCTTTCAACATTTGTGAACCTCATTACTAGTCCTGATCTTAGTTTATAAATTATTTCCTTCGAAAGCTCACAATAATCTTCTATTAATAATTTGTCGCATGCTGTTGTCAGGCATCGTGTCATGACTATGACTGAGCTACCAGTCATATATTTTTCACCGCTCATTGATTCAGTTGCTTCATGAAAGGGCTTTAATATCTTTGCTATTTCGGCAAGCAACAACCACTCATCATTTGTAATTATCGGTAAATCTTTTTTTAATATTGCCACTGTCGATCTGAGGCACTGTTCGAGATCAACAAATCGCCTAACCATCTGAAAGGTAGAGTTCCAGCATGTCGGAACTTCCTGAATTAAGCGCTTTGGGATGCAATTTGGCTGGTCATTCGTTTGGGCTTTTAAAAGTTTTTCCAAGGCAGTGCTGCTACTTTTAAAAAAGCGTACAATTTTTTTAACTTTCTCTAATAAATTCTGTAGTGTCTCATCATTAGAAATAGCGTTTTGCACAATCAAATTCAAAGTATGACCATAACATCCATAATGCTTCCAACCGATGTTAGAAATGGCTCTCTGTATATTGGCAGCATTATCTGTTATAACGAAATTTATTTTATTAGTCAGGTTCCATTCCTTTACCATCTCAATCAAAACTGTTTGAATATTATCATTCGTATGGGACTCCTGAAAGTTACTGCAATCGAGTAAGCATGTTTTCAGCTCATAATCGTCTGTGATAAAATGTCCCGTAACAGCCAAATAGGATTCATTAGCCCTCGACGTCCATAAGTCAGCGGTAAGGCAAATATTTTCTATTTGTAATAATTCAGTTTTAAGAGTTTCTTTTGTCTTATTAAATAAAGTTGGAATCATGACGTTCGAAATTGTTTTTCTAGTAGGCAGCTGGTAGCCAGGAATCCAACGAACAAACTTTTTAAAAGATCTTTCTTCTACCAAGGTAAAAGGTTGATAACTATCGACAAACAAATCGAGAAGATCACTGTCTATTTTCCTTTTTAATTCTCCTGAAATTTGTTTTGCGGTGTTACACCTTTCAATTTGTTGTTGCTGTCGTATTTGATGGCTTGTTGGTACAGCAGACACATGGGACCCGGACGGGCACACTGCTGCTCCTGTTGAGGTGGCTGTGGTGGTAGTTGATATTATAGTACTTGTTATTGTAACATGTGGCACTGATGGTGTAGTATCGGCAATATTTTGTGTTCTTATTTCTTGCTGTCCACTCGTTAGACTTAAATATGCATCCAAATGTCTCTTTTTTAAATGTGCCTTTAAATTCCCCGTAGTACCTTTATAGCTATATAAGCAACCACAAACACGACATTTGGCCTTTTTATCAACCACATTTGACTTATCAAAAAATTCCCATAAAACACTGGAATTTGTACGCGCCATTATGAAAATTGTTTTTAAGTGTCACACAATTATTGTTATTTGAATATAACTGAGTACCTATTTACTAATTACTACGTGCACTGTTATTATTTACACATTTAAGCTATACATAAAGTCACGGTGTTAAACTATTTTATACATCACAAACTGCAAAATTAAGTCAGAAATTTTATTATAAATTATTTACAAAGTTTATGTTAAAATAAAAGTTTCTAAGCTTTCAAAAGCTTAATACAAACACAACAAATAAACTCAACTATTTGGATACAACTAAAAATAGAAAAATGTGTACTTTAACCTTAAAAATCAAACGCAAAAAACCTTTAAGTATTTATAAACACTTGTCCAAAAATTTTAGTTCAAGGTTAAGCCACGTGAAATTAAATGCAACAGTGCAAATAGGCAATACTGCATTCAAATTAAAGTCGAAAGTTGAAACTTTTTTCCTAAACTGTATCCTGCTGATACGTTAAGAATAATTTTCAGACATATGTACTTAAATATAAGATTTACAATTGTATGGATAATGCCTATTTCTGTTGCATTCATCACGTGCTCCCTATCGTGCGTTCACTCACTCTGACCGATTCGATACGAACTAAACGAATATTCCTGGTCGCTCTGATCACGGATATACGTATCGGTCGGTACGATGCGCCGATGCGCGTCACGTCGAGCAATATAGTGTACCGGCTGATAAGGCGATATCGGATTCAACGATGTTGCTGCGATATATAGATATTGAATCTATATACGGCTTATATCACCCACTCCTACGGAATACCGACTATTGCGCAGTTTGATTATAGGCATTACATATAAACATTATAAACCTGTACGCTCAGAATACATTCTGAGCCTGTACGGACGTGTCTTAGCGCGCGCATGTATAACGCTTTTAATAAGTTAAAAACATTTATAAATAACCGTTTTAAACTACTTTTCTGTGAATTTAGCATTTATTTTTGTATTTATTGAAATAAAAATAATAATTAAAAAGATACTTTTTTCAAAAATCCCGTAGCGATATCTGCAAAATATGTGAAAGTAAGCTCAGTACAAAAAGGGCTAGCATTTTAAAGAGATGAACCTAGTTATTATGTACGTCAGTAATGTGTACCTATATAATTTTTGTTTCTCACTACCTATGGTGATAGCCTTGAGAGGCTATTTCAGGTTCACCCTAACGTTTGTAGGTGAGCTCACGGGGCTCAAACCGGAGAGTTGCTAACACTGACCCTAGCAAGGGCAGTGCTTTGCAGAATCTACCACCGGATCGGAAGCGCGACCCACTGAGAAAATCCGGCGAGAAACTCAGTGGGCTGTGTCTATGGGTTAATTCGCTCGTCGAGCCTTTCGTCGTTTGGTTCGACGAGGACGGTGAACGGTGCTTGTGGTGCCTAAAAGCACCTTTAATGGATCAGGGGGATTCGTAATGACGTGTTTTGGGCGACGTCGACGGTTCACCATTCGCCTAAATAATAATATAAACGTAACTAATCAATAGCAACGGTTTCAACATACCCTGTGTATTTGAAAAAGTTTTATTGTGTTTTTTGAACTCGAAATAGTTTATATTTATTTCGTAGCAATAAGTATAAACTTAAATAGCGCGATCTCAAAAAGTCTACGACTACAAAATAATTCATTGCTTTTCATAGATCATCATTTCATTGCTTCACTAGTGATCATGCAAATAAGAAAGCGAAGTGAATTTAAAAAACAGATTTGGTTCTTGAAATATATACACTGTTACGCGCTGGGGCTCGGGATATATAAAAGTTTCACTGAAGTACAAACTCTATTTAACAATTAGAACACTTAAGGCACACTTCATAATTCGCAATTCAGTTCTTCCGCTTCGCTTCAGGTGATCCGTTCGCTGTTTCGCTTCGAGTAGAACCGATTACCGACTGCCTTTATGTAACCTCTGCAACGCTTTATAGTCGACATGACAAGTCTACAATTACCGAGAACATTCCCGGTAATACTTACTAGTCGTTTCGATATGCTTTCCCCCCCTGATAATAGATGGCGTTACACTTCTCTAGCGTTCTCGATATTACTAGTTCTTTTGATATTCGTTTCTGCTATTTGATAACAGATGGCGTTACTCTTACCCGCATAACGATACATATAAAGCGAATCGCGTATTAAGATTTCTACCCACAATATTTTGATCACGAAATCATTTTGTTCGGAAACAATCTTAAAACCATTAAAAACTAAAACATACCATCGCCGTATCTAGGGTTAGCTATTCTAGTAAAACACGCGCCCTTCCTGCCCCAGTAAGGGTGTCGCTCGTTGTTACAAATGCCATCTGTTGTGCGGTACTTGGCGTTCCCGCAGATAATGGTTGAGGGCATGCCGAGGGTTGGATCTTGGATTCTAATAACCTGGTTCTCCAAGAATGCCATAAACGTGTTTGGCGTAACATCACTGCTGTGGAAATAAATATATATATAATGATAGTAGAATGATAGTAGAAGTTTGAAAATCACTAAACCATTTTTGGTGTCTTAATAAATGCTCTTAGTATGCAAAGTTTCTAAATTTAGCATACTCATAATTAATTATATTAATTCGATGTTATTTAATTAAACATGTGCTGCCATCTATTTTTAAGAACGTAAATTACTATCTTACTAAAATTTTGTTAATTTTGATTTAGGAATAGACTCACTAAATAGTTCTAACAGAATTCATAAATTAAAATGAACATTAATTTAATCTAAATGACATGTATACTAACTCTTTGTTAATAATATAATACTCCTTAATGTATAAAATCGTTGCCATCCATCTCAACTTCAATAGACATCAAAGAACACAGAAATTTTAAGTAGACGTTTTACTAAATGTGGCGTGATCATTGAATAAAATATTATTAAAAAATTAATTTGATATTTAAGTGTTACGAGGTAAAGCTTTCAAAAAAAAAATTACCTAACGCTTTTTATTTCAAAGCTATAAAAAAAGATGTGTGATGTCGTGGGACACCGGATAGGAACGAAGATCCATATAAAAAAAAAACTTCAGAGGTGTCAAGGGACACCCGGATGGAACGAAGTTCCTTTCGATTAATTAGTGAAGGAATTGTAATTTTTTTTTTAAGTTATAATAATAAATTACGGCATTATGAAGAAGAAAAAAACAATACTATGAACTAAATTACTATTGTTGAAACGCTATCTCGAGAAACTGTACTCATTAGGCGGACCAATCGGATACGAGCAATGTCACGCGATAAGCGCCTACACGTTGATTGGTCAGAATTACGGATCTAAAAAGTGTCGTGACAACTTTTCGTAAGAATTTTTTCCGTCTAGCCCCCTTTCACAACGCGCGATAAGGAACTTCGTTCCAAAAAAAAAAAGAATTACGAGAAAAAAATCGCACGGTGAAATATCGCTGTGCGGAAAACAAGGCCTTATTCCACGGACTTTTTCTTACGGTTTTTACAATCACATTTTTTTCAGTTCGGTCGCGCAGCAAAAATCGCGCGGTGAAATATCGCTGTGCGGAAAACAAGGCCTTATTCCACGGACTTTTTCTTACGGTTTTACTATCAAATTTTTTTCAGTTCAGTCGCGCAGCAAAATCCCTATCTCCTCCAAGCCTGCCGTAAGGAACTTCGTTCCAATAAATTAAAACAATTATCAAGGAGTAAACTCCAATAGAACGTTTCAAGACTACCTACCACGCGCATAACTTCGTCTGAAGCACTTTCGTTGAACTAAGAATCTCATGGGACACTTCCACTGCATTATTTATATCAGCTGAGTAAGAAGGGGAGAAGAAGTGTAGCAGCGATGGTGAATACGCCTCCAGGTTGATACCATTCTTCACGAGCTTATTCCCGCGCTCTTTCGAACTGCGGGCCAGCTCGCGACCACATTTCAAACACTCGGTGATCAGATCAGGAGTAATAGGGCCGTCCTCTTCTTCTATTTGACAAAAAATATACAGATAATATCTTGTTGATATTGATAGCACAGATATTATATAGAGTTCGAAAATTTATGTTTTTTTTTTTCTTAAAAACAGCCATAATTTTTGAAGTGAAAACTTCTTGAGAATCGTTGTGATTTCAAACCGGATGCAACGGAAAAAACGACAGCTAAGAGACACAAATACAAAAATGTGTAGGATGAAGCCAGCAAAGAATGAGATAGAAATATACATACTATTTAATACAGCGCCATCTGTGAGATTTTTTAATACTAACTTGTGTATGAAAGCTCTTGTAGTGAATTTTAATTTAGGATTATACGTGAAATTAAAATATCAATTCACAGAGGGCGCTACCTTACAATTATTTACTAATGACAAAATTTTACATATACTTAAGACGTTTAGGATAATTGTATTTTAATTTTGGAAGGTTTCACTTCTACCACGTGTGAATTGCACACATTTTGTTTTTTTTTTTAACTGGCGTAGTTCGTAGTTACAGGTCAGAAACTTCGGTAAGTGATTAAGAGAAATCAAATGAAAGGAGAACGAAATTAAATTTATTTAAACTTCTAATTTCATGGCTTTTTTTAATTGTCAGGATATGTGGTGTTATTACTCATCGGAGCCCAAGGATACATCAACCACGTTAATACCGCCACCAAACTTGAGGCAGGAGTTCTAAGTCTCAGTTTTACCCTTGAAACCGAAGCGCATTACTGCTTCACGGCAGAAATAGACAGGGTGGTGGTACCCACCCGTACGGGCACACAAGAGGCCCTACTACCAATAAGAAATTACTGTATTTGTTCATTTTATTTGAATAAATTGTATACGGTAGTGAATGTTAGCCTCGCCTCACAGCAAAATGTCTAGAAATGTACATTGCACAGAGAACACAACATAAATTCCGCTGTTAACTTCGAGATACGAGATCAAAGGTTTCAAATCTTACATTTAAATATACATAATCTATACGTTTACATAATTTACTGGTACTAGAGCGTCTTCTCACCCCACCAGGTAGATACCACCACCCTTTATAAGCTCCAGTAGGTAACCACTTAGCATCAGGCTATTAATGGTGGTAGGACCTCTTGTGAGTCCGCACGGGTAGGTACCACCACCCTGCCTATTTCTGCCGTGAACCAATAATGCGTTTCGGTTTGAAGGGTGGCGCATTTACGTTGTAGATGTCTATGGGCTCCAGTAACCACTTAACACCAGGTAGACTGTGAGCTCGTCCACCAATCTAAGCTATAAAAAAAAGGTGATGCGTCAGTTACCATCCAAGTAAGCAAAAAAAAATAGTAGTTTTTCATAATCCGAACAAATATACAACACTTGAAAATTATTTAAATATAAAATGACTTACCTATGGAATGTGTTTTAAATATATCACCAAATATGTTTGATGTAGAGGCCAATATTGGACCCAAGGCTGCTAGTAAATCTTCTGCTAGGAAGTCCAATCCTAAGTTACATCCACTTACATTCACGAACAATAAAAACAATACGACTACCCTTAAAACACTTCTAAATTTACAGATCATTTTTTTCACGTACATTATTATTGTCTGTATGAGCATGCAAATCGGTTACTTTAAAAAAAAAACTTTGTCTATGATACGTATAAAGAAATCAGAGTCGAAAACATCGCTTCATATTAACGGCTAGTACGAAAATCAACAAAAGTCGCTCGTCTTATCACCGTTCAAAAACAAAAAGATTTTTATCTAAAAGTTTGACTAATCAAATCACGTTCATTGCGTTGCACTGTTTTTTGTTAAATAGAAATCACTAAATTTGATAACGCATGTATTTATCATGAATTACGTAATTTTTTGACAATTATTCATTCACCTGTTAGCTATTAGAGTGTTAACAAATGTTCACGATTGACTTCCACGGTGAAGGAATAGCATCGTGTAATAAAAATCAAACCCGCAAAATTATAATTTGCGTAGTTACTGGTGGTAGGACCTCTTGTGAGTCCGCACGGGTAGGTACCGCCACCCTGCCTATTTTTGCCGCAAAGCAGTAATGCGGTTCGACTTGAAGGGTAGGGCAGCCGTTGTAACTATACTGAGATCTTAGAATTTATATCTCAAGGTGGGTGGCGTATTTACGTTGTAGATGTCTATAGGCTCCAGTAACCACTTAACATCAGGTGGTCTGTGAGCTCGTCCACCCATCTAAGCAATAAATAAAAAAATAAAGTAATAACCGTCTGTTCTTTTTGGACTTTTTGGCGATAACGATGCGTGTTTTAAATGAATTGTATTATTTCGTAACCGTAACAAGTATTTCTTCAAGTTTAGACCTGTAAAGCTGGGTATTCACCTAGCTGTGTAGCACGTAACGTAACAGATACAGTATCAACCTGCAAGTGGGTACGGCTGGTCCACGGTCCACAGCGTATCTAGTTACGAGCTGCCACGAGCACACTGCGAGCCGCCTTTGTGTTCGCAGCAGTGGCGTACCTAAGGGGGGGCGGTGGGTGCGGTCCGCACCGGGCGGCACTTACCCTGGGGCGGCAATTTCAATCAGTGTCGCAAGTTGCGAAAGAAGCTTCTCAAAATTGAAGTTGATAAAAAATTATCTTCGTTCTACAATGAGTCAATCAAGACTACAAAATCTTGCAATATTGTCAATAGAACAAGAAATTACAAATAATATAAATTTTGAGAGCATTATACACGATTTTTCTAGTATGAAATCTAGAAGAGTAGATATTATATAAATATGTTTACGAGTGCATACAAATAAGTCTAAAAAAATTACTCTGTGTATTAATTAATATTGATTAAATAACTTAATAATTTATTTATGTGTATTAATTTATAATAACCACTATTTGGTTGACTTATAATAGAAAGGGCGGCAGACTGGATATCGCCCCGGGCGGCAAAAGTTCTAGGTACGCCACTGGTTCGCAGTGATACCGCCATTCGGCGGGTCACTGCGAGCTTGCTGCGCTCCTTCCGCGAGCGGCTCGCAGCGGGCTCGTGCCTACGTACTCACTGGATACTGTATCTGTTACGTTACGTGCTACACGTTTAGGTGAGTACCCACCATAATAATCGTGACTTTTAACTGTTTATTATCTATGAAGGTGGCATGTTTTTGAAAATGAAACAAAATCATTGGATGTCTACTTCTCCCAAGAAGCCTTATCCATCACCGTGGAGCCTATTCACTAAATGATATGGCAAGGAAATAAATATATGGGGAATAAGGTTTTACTACCCAATATCTTCTTAAGTATTATAGTAAATAATTACTAATATTTTATTAATAATATGTAGCTAAACTCTAAGTTTGCAACAGTTGATTTACTTGTCATAGGGCGTATTATGAGCTCGCACGGGTAGCTACCACCATCCCGCTTATTTCTAACACGAAGCAGTCATACTACGTTCCAGTCTAAACGATAAAATAGAACTACAACCTTAGATTTCTCAAAATCGGTTACAGTACTACATGTACTTTGGCAACCAATTTATACTGTCGACTGTGAGCTCACTCATCCTATGCAAAAAAAAAAACGACTAATTAAAAAAGGAACTTCGTTCCAAAAAGCAACCTCACATGCTTACAAGAAATGAGATTTTCATTACATTGTTAATAAGAATTGTAGTCTTAAATAATATTATAATAATAATATATAATCTATGATAGTGATTCTTTGAGCAATAATTGGGACTTTTTGGCGGGAACGCGAGGAGTGAAGTTGTGGTGATTTGTTTTATTTTGTCTATTAAGTGTTTCTTCAGGTTTAAATGTGTAATAACGGTGGTTTATTAACTGTTTAGTATCTGTGAAAGTGCACAAATTTGGGAAAATCAAACAAAGCCGCTGAACGTAACTTCTCGGGATCCTCCAAAAAGTCCACTGAAAAAGTCTCAGTAAATGATCACCATTTTACTGAGATTATATTTCATCCCATATCATCTCATTTCATTTCAGTTCAGTTCAGTTCATTTCATGCCATGTTTCATATTAATCAACTTCATTTCATTTCACTTTATATTATCATTTCATAAAAATAAGAATATTAAAATAAATTTAAATAAGACTTGACCTAAAGATTTTAGTTACCAGGTCATTAAATCACTTGAAAAAAAAGGAGCATTAATTGTAACTCAATTAAACAGAGACCGGTTAGTAACTTTTATTTCGCTTCACATATCGACTAGGTACTTATTTAATAATCTAACAGCAAGGAAAGCGGAACATGAAATAAAAAACATATCCTACAAAAATAATATTTATTATTATCGCCTTTTTATTGTGATGCATACAAACAAACGTTAGAAATATTATAACAAAATTTACTAATTTTTTTTTTTGTTTTTGTTTTTGAAAAGACGTCGGTGGTATTCTAGAATGCTACAAAAAAACCAACTCATAGGCATGACCGAAAGTTTTTTTTTTTATAATTACAAATGACATTCAAAAAGCATTGGTTTTTATGTTTTCCTCTTCCATTATTTAGTTTAATTATAGCACTCTCCACCAGTACTGAAATTGCAAATTCAAAGCTACGACCTATTAATATTACCTATTAATATAAATAAAAATACAATTGTGTTGATATCGGATCACAGATAATATATTTTTGCATAAATTAAAACTGTAATTTATGAAAACGGCTTAATTCCAAAATGTGAACATTTTAAACCATCTTTTAAAACATTTAGTGATTCGTGATTGCAAAATTTCACCTTGCAATTATTGTAACTATGTCTTTTAATTCCTTGTTAATGTGCAATGCAGTGAAGAAGTATTAAATAAATAAAAAATTAAATACCACAGATTTCATTTTTAGGTTATTTTTATTTCAGTCGTCTTGGACGTGCCGTGTATAAAGTAGTGATGACTTGCTCGGTGGTGCCGTGATTAAGGATATAATATATTGTTGTCGTTTTTGAAAGATGAAAATTCGGCGGTTTTTTTTTTTGTTAATACTACCTAGAACGAGAACGTTTGTTTCACACAGCCTTACTAAAAATAACCAACCGTTATTTGAAATCCAATAAATCCAAAGCATTTGAATACAACATTAGTTAGTGTGCTTTTTCCGTTAAATAACCATGGATATTTACGACAAAGGGTCACCATGAGTATTTATTTTGACATAACTAATTTTCTATACACTTTTTTTTTAAATCTGATAACCTAAAAAGTTTTCATTGACGAAATATTATAAGTTTATAACATATTAGGTAAGGGAAAGTTTTTTTTTTCGTATTTTATGAGTAAAAAGTTGCAGTAAATTTATTTAGAGCTACTGTTTGTTTTTGGTATATTTTGATACCATTAAATAGACTATTCAGAATGGAAAATAAAAAAATAAAAACAGTTTCCCGCTAATTCCTGCAAACGAGAAAAACAGTTTCCCGCCTTTTAAAGTTCGATAAAATGAATGAATCTAACGAGTAATTTCAAAAGCAATTTCATAAAAAAATACATAAGAGCAGTTTAACGGACTTGGTTCCGTAATGCTTTGGAGGAAACAGAGATGAAAAGCTACGATTTGACCGCAAAGCAGTCTTGACCGATTCGATTTGGATGCCACACGAGCCAACCAAAAGTTTCTTTAATGAATTTTGTCACTCCTTTGCGATTCTCATTTGTAAAAAAACAGAAACGTCTGTGAAAAGATTGATCGCTCGTGATGTTTTCATTCCACCACGGGATTACCCACGACAACAACGTGCGAAAAAGATCATGTCCAAAGGGCCGTTAAGTTCCACAGACTAGCCCGCAGTTACAGAGTTTATATTAATATCAAAATTAAGGCATCGAGTTATCGAACGAAATGGCATCTATATTATTATCAAATATAAAGAAACTATGATAAAATGTCTTATATTTGTATATGAAATACGAAAAAAAAACCGACCCGTCCACTATATATCTGAAATTAATTAGCATAATTTTAGTGCTTCCGTTATTGTTCCCCATTTGATAATTGTAAACAAACTAGATTTACATTAAATATATATACACAATTATTTAATAAAAAGAATACATTAATAAGTCTAAAAATACTTTTTTGTTCCCAAAAATATTTTATTAATTCATTCATTTTTTATTTATTCCTTAGAACGAGCTCAAAGCTCACCTGGTGTCTAGTGGATACCGGAGCCTATAGACATGAACAAAGTAAATACCGCTGTCCACCTTGAGATACGAGTTCTGAGCTTTAGTTGCTTAGTGCAACGGTCCTTTAAACTTGAACGCATTATTTTTCAGCGGCAGAAATAGGCAACCTACCCACCCGGGCTCACAAGACGGTCTTCCACTAAAATAAATACGCAAATTTTTATTACACGGTGTTATCCCTTCCTTTACAGTCGTCGTGGCCTAAAGGATAAGACGTCCGGTGCATTCGTATCTAGCGATGCAACGGCGTTCGAATCCCGCAGGCGGGTACCAATTTTTCTAATGAAATATATACTTAACAAATGTTCACGATTTACTTCCACGGTCAATATAGTATAATAAAAATCAAAATCCGCAAAATTATAATGTGGACCTTGTAGGATGTAGGACCTTTTGTGAGTCCACACGGGTAGGTACCGCCACCCTGCCTATTTCTGCCGTGAAGCAGTAATGTGTTTCGGTTTGAAGGGTGGGGCAGCCGTTGTAACTATACAAATACCTTAGAACTCATGTCTCAAGGTGAGTGACGGAATTTACGTTGTAGACGTCTTTGGGCCCCAATAATCACTTAACACCAGGTGGGCTGTGACCTCATGCACCCATCAATGCAATAAAAAAAACTTAAGTCATTCGTGAACATAAGTATGTATTACTCTAAAAAAATAATACCTGTCTGCGCGATTCGAACACCGGCAGAGTTGCATCGCTCGATACGAATGCACCGGGCCTCTTATCCTCTAGGCCACGACGACATCTCTTAAAATCACAATAGCACATATAAATAACCTAACGCCACCATAAACGCCCTATATTAAACATCTATATTATAATACGAAAACTAATCACATTTTCATCACAACTATAGTAGAACAATGACATTAGATTATATAAAAAATACATTACACTAAAAAATAAAAATACAGAACAATATGTAATAAAATAAGTATCAAGGTTTTCTTGCTTTTGAAAATTAGATTACAAAGCATTGAAAAGAACATTATTCATACGTTATTATAATACAAAAATATACATATTATATATTTTTTGATACATTTACCATGTAAACGTTCAAAGCAAATTCTAAATTAATGTCTTAAAAGAATTTGATGGTTGATTTGATTTCATATTTAATAGCATTAGTAGGAATTCAGGAATACATCAAAAGATGTCTCGTTCAATTGACTTAGCTTTTTTTTAACATTCAGTGTTTTTTTTTTTAAATAAACATTATACCTACCATCGTAAACTAAAACTTAATTTTTTAACGTGTGCAACTGTCCTGAATACATGATCCCACATTTTCGAGCTTATGCCGTATGCTGAAAGAAAAAAAAAACACATTCTATTTAGTGTTTCTAGTGATTTAAATGTGTAATAATAGTGGTGTATTAGCTGTTTAATATCTGTGAAAGTGCACAAATATGGGAAAATGAAATAAAGCCGCTGTACGTAACTTCTCGGGATCCTCCAAAAAGTCCACTGAAAAAGTCTCAGTAAATGACCACCATTTTACTGAGATTATATTTCATCTCATATCATCTCATCTCATTTCATATGATTTCATTTCATTTCATAATATAAATTTTCATATAAAAAATATTAAAGATAAGGCTGTATGATATGATACCTTTGCCTTTCCAATTGGAAAAATAAAACTACTACTACAAGTATGTGTTAGCAAAAATTATAGATTTCGATTTTGTAAATATTTTAATTATTGACGATACATCCTTATTGTTTAAAATTAAACGACATTTGGAAGATTAAGTTTAGTGTTAATAATCTGTTATTAATTAACAAAAAAACAAAATGTATAAAATTTACCACACCTAATGTTAGACAAGTATACACTAATACCATTATTACTTTAAAATCTTAATTTCATAAAAACACTCGTAACATCGTAATCTCGATCGACGACTGACTTTGACATTTAAAATAAATCCAGTATGAACCATACTGATATTCCCACTTTTTTTTCCTACCTAAACAGATAGCCTTTGAAGGGTCTGCTAACATAACCGAGCAAGTAGGTGAACTCACGGGGCTCCAGTCTGAGGACATTGCTAACACTAGCCTTAGCAAGCGCAGTGCTTCGCAGAATATACAAACGGATCGGAAACGCGGCCCACTGAGAAGATCCAGCGAGAAACTCAACGGGCTGTGGTTTCCCACATATAACTATATAATAATATGTACTATCCATTCGTTTCCTCAATCTTACTAATTGCCTATAGATAAACTTAAAATAGTTAGTGTGACGTCCGAGATATTATAACGAAATGTAATATCACTTTTAATGTCAGAATCGATTTGCGTAAGCGAAGAGATACATCATTTTTATCAGCCAAAATATAACATTGGTTAGGTATAGAATAGATTCAATCAATTAAATTCTGTTCCGGCTTACTTTGAGACTGTTTGAGTTGTTTGAAATCGATTGTTTCGGTCCAACGAATTGTAAGCTTTGAACTCTTTTTTTTATTGTCCTTATAGGGAGACGAGCACACGGTCCACCTGATGGTAAGTGGTTACCGTCGCCCATGGACTTCAGCAATGCCAGGGGCCAGGGGCAGAGCCAAGCCGCTGCCTACCGCAACTCGAATGCATGCATAAGTCGCAACAAGACAGTGGTATCAAATCTTATGGATCTGCAACGTGCGCGCTGTAGCTCTTAATAAGAGAGAGAGAAAAAGAGTCTTAATGAAATAGATAACAAAAACTACCTAATTTCACTGTTGCTTTAATCGACTTTAAAAAAAACAAATTATCAATTCGACCGTATTTGTATGTGTTTTAGGTACCTCATAACTTTTTTCTAAGTAAACCAACCGATTATGATTTTACTCTTTTTTATTTTTATTTGAAAACTGGTTCCATTTAAGTTTTATAAATATCCGTAATAGTTTCTGAGATATATTGTAATAATGAATATTTAATTGACTTCACTTAAGTTAACGATATTGTCATTTTCATTGTGTTGAAGCCGGTTTTTTTTTCTTTTTTTTTTCTTTGTTTTTTTTTTTTAAATTATACTAGCTGAGCCGTCGAACTTCGTACCATCGATCTATTACCACGATGGTAATAAATCGATGTACCTAACAGTCAATGAAGTTCGTGTTATAGATTAGCTGAACTAAAAAATCACTTTGTCATTAAGGCAGCATTATCCAGACGTATCGTAAACGATATGTTTATGTATATATACGTATGATATATAATATTTTCCTTAGTTTACAGGAAATAAATTTCTGAACGCACGAATAAAAATTTAACAACCAAAATATATGTCGATCCTTTTTCATTACGGTACCGTATTGAATTTCTAAAATCTAAAATACGCCATTATCCGAATAATGTTGATATACATATTATTATCTTGTCGACTCGAAATTCTTGTTTAAAATACGTTCTTTAATTTGAGGGGAGAGCAAAAAAAAAAAACATTTTTTTTTTATTCAACATAAATTTTCCCGTATCAACGTTTTTTTTTTCTACCTAAGCTGATGGTCTAGAGAGACCATATCAGCGTAACCTTAACTAGTAGGTGAGCCTCACGAGGCTCAAACCTGACGATAACGGCATTAAATGTTTGACCAATGAACATTTTGTACGGGAAAATGTTTCATATTTTATTTAATTATTTTCGTGATTTTTTGCGATACTATTAATAGTTATCCTACTATTTGGTACGGAGACAAATACAACAAATAAAAAAAACTCAGTCTTGGTTCTGGATTTATAAGTGTTCGAACAATCGTCATATACATATCTACATCTATATATTAATACGTGAATCAAAAACTTTGTATCCCTTTTTACGAAAATTGCGCGGACGGAGGAGTATGAAATTTTCCACCCTTATAGAGAATATAGAGAAGAAGTGCACAATGCTAATATTTTTTTAAATAATGCATAAAAGATACATTAAATCAATAAAGAAAACATTACACACACTACATGCCATGTATTTGACGCACACACGCATGCTTACTATATTTTAATGTCAAACTTTTATTCTTGACGTGTGTGGTCAAATTGAGAATAGATTAAATATTGTTTGTCTTTATTAATATTTTTTTATAGTGTAGCCTTGACGAAATTTGTGATTATAGAAGTATAAAATACAATCATAATAGTGTACAAACTTACAATTCCAATTATAGTCGAATTTCGACTACTGCGGGACCTCTAGTATATAATAATAGTATTTATATTTTTTCTATTATTTATATACATACCTACATACAATATAGGGGGGCGAAAGGCATTTTGTTTAAGCGACATTTCAGTTAATACGCGACAATTTATATTTGTAATTAACGTCAGGCTTGAGCCCCGTGAGCTCACCTACTAGCCCGGTGACGCTGATATGGTCTCTCAAGACCATCAGCTAAGGTAGAAAATAAAAAAATTGTAATTAAAGATCCGTTTTTTTTTTTGGTATTAGTCTTAACAATTCGATGTTTTTAATTGAACTTCAATTATGTTTACCACATTCAAACAACTGAAGAAGGTTTTTTTTGTTATGATATTTTTAGCAATTTTTAAACTTTAAATTACTCTTTTGTAAAGTTACAAAAATTTCGCTAAAGCCAAATACATTTTGACCTTTCAATGTGTAGGTGTTATAAGAATGGCAAAAGCGAACCTTTGTCGTGATTGAGGAAATGGTGGTTCGAGTGGTATCTCTTCATTGCGTACAGATAGGTTCCGTCTTTTGGCGAGCCGTGATGAACATAATAATGTATCATATCGTAAGTTAGGTAGCCTGAAAACATAATAAATTCAAAGCTTTATTAGTATAGATAAACCAGATAAGCTAGCTTCTCTGATAGCGGTCAATTCTTAAACAGTGTTTGAAGTCGTCGTGGCCTACAGGATAAGACGTACGGTGCATTCGTGTTGAGCGATGCACCGATGTTCGAATCCTAGACGGGTACCAATTTTTCTAATGAAATACTCAACCAATGCTCACGATTGACTTCCACGGTAAAGGTATAACATCGTGTAATAAAAATCAAGCGCGCAAAATTATAATTTGCGTAATTGCTGGTGGTGGGACCTCTTGTGAGTCCGCGCGGGTAGGTACCCTGCCTATTTCTGCCATGAAGCAGTAATGCGTTTCGGTTTGAAGGACGGGGCAGCCGTTGTTACTATACTGAGACCTTAGAACTCATGTCTCGAGGTGTGTGGCGGCATATACGTTGTAGATGTCTACGGGCTCCGGTAACCATTTAACACTAAATGGGCCGTGAGCTCGTCCACCTATTTATCCAATACAAAAACAATATATATTATGTTTATTTATCGAATAAGATATATTTTATGCTTCAACGATTCAACGCTTATATAATATTATATATTAATATTATATATATTTGATAACCCTTTATATCTAATCTTGGAATAATCTTCGGCAAATATTCGATATATTGTAGATGACTTGTTAGAATATTTTCGGTGACATCAAGCATCCTTACTAATAATAATATAGCCTTTTATTCAGATCCATATTACAATTATATGACTAAATATAATATCATACAGAAAACTTAAATTTTATTTAAACCTTAATCTAGCCTATTATTTGATTTTTTTCTTATTTTCTGCAGATCTGTTTGCCAATCGCCAAAGGCCTCCTCCAACCTTTTCCACTCATGTCTTGGTGATGGCTCAATCCTTATAATAGGCGATGTTAATATTTGGGAGGAACCTAGTATGAAAAGTCCCACCTTTTATACTTTTCACCTTTTCACCAAACTCAACACCTTTCAAACAGAAAACGCATTATTACTGTTTCACGGCAGAATTATCAGGGTGGTGGTGAGGGTACCCGTGTGGACTCATAAGTAGTCCTACCACCAGTAAATACATTCCACATTACGACCCAAAGATAGTACAAATGAAGCTATATATGATTGTCTTGTAATCACACTACATCACATCTACTCTTGTTTCTATTTGCCTTGTTTTCTATTACCCCTGTAGGCAGACGAGCATACGGCCCACCTGATGGTGAGTGGTTACCGTCGCCCAATGACGTCAGCAACGCCAGGGGCAGAGCCAAGCCGCTTACTGCTTATAACTACTGAAGAAATTAATTGATGTTTTTTTTTTAAATCTCACCAATGAGTCCTCCGGTCAGCACTAGCACTGGGTAGGGCAGAAACGGCCGAAGTGCTGAGTATATTATTGTGGTTATACCTAGAGCCGGTATGGGGGGGAACACCTGGCGCAAACCATCAAAGGGAACCTGGAAGGAAAACTATAGATATACAATAATGAACCTACAGTGAACGTCAGAAGGTCGGATTTGTAAGTAAGCAGATTCAGGCAGGTTATCGTGACTTTATCGTGACGTAATCTTAAGAATGTTGGTTTTTCGAACTTCACAACTATCTCAGATGTTGGTATTAAAATTAAAAGTGTAATATCAATATTTAAATTCAATCGGAATTTTAAAAACTCTCCCTCGTCCGTAATCAAACAGATAAAATCAAAATGTATTTTTTATTCCAATATATGCTTTCTCCAACAACTCGCAATGTAGTTTTACCACTGACAAGGAAATCATGACCACGAAAACCGTAAAGTATTTGAAATGACAAAAAAAATATAAATATAAAATATAGAAATAGAAAAGATACTATAAACTCAACATCCAACCAAGCTCCTCAATAAAGGGGAAATAAATAGGCTTACTTTTTTCCTATGTACATCGCACACAAAATTAAAGTATCATTAAATTAGTCACATATTGCACATAATGCAGATACACGTACTCTTAAAAATTCAGTCTAGGCTCTTCTTCAAACAAGTCTCAAAGAATAGTATATTATATATGGTATAGGAATTAGGGATTTCTTTTATATTGATAAATATCAAAAACTGCGTCATAGTAAATTAAGAGATATTGACTTCCCTATTGTTTTTCGGAAGTGACAATATGTGTGAGAACGTAGAATTTCATATTATTATTATATAAACTTAGATAAATTATATAAACTAGAGTTCCCGCAGTAGTCGAAATTCGACTATAATTAATTGGAATTGTAAGTTTGTACACTATTATGATTGTATTTTATACTTCTATAATCACTAATTTCGCCAAGACTACACTATATAAAATATATTAACAAAAACAAACAATATTTAATCTCAATTTGACAACAGACGTCAAGAACAAAAGTTTGACAATAAATAGTATGTATGCGTGTGTGCGTCAAATACATGGTATGTAGTGTGTGTAATGTTTTCTTTATTGATGTAAAGTATCATTTATGCATTATTTAAAAAAAATATTAGCATTGTGCACTTCTTCTCTATATTCTCTATAAGTGTGGAAAATTTCATACTCTTCTGTCCGCGCAATTTTCGTAAAAAGGGATACAAAGTTTTTGCTTCACGTATTAATATATAATCTGTGATACGTATTTTAAGTGAAATATTTGACGGGATGGAATAAGTACGTAAAGGAAGCTCACGCGGAGGCTTGATATAGGGTTTTACTGTGGGTACAAAATGGTAAGTCCAGTTCTGGCATGACTTACACGCAATTGAGTGAATCTCGGAAAGCTTTCAAAGCCTAATTAAAGGAGTGTCAAAACAACGAGCGTAAGATTAAGATGGACATAATCGCGTACCATCATGCAAATGGTAGCTTCGAAAGCTTTTGGAGGGAAGTGAATAGATTGAGTCCTAGATCGAGTCTTCCATCGAATGTTGAAGGGAAAAAAGAGCCGGTAGGTATTGCTAATCAGTTTTTAGACATTTTAAAATCACATCAGCGTTAGGTCCATCTACTCGAGCGCATTGTTATGACGTCAGTGGCCTTGTGGTGCGTTTCTCAGTCCGTGACATCACTGCGTTAGTCAAAAATATGGCTAGAGGGTAAGTCCCCAGGACATAATAGCCTTAGTATTGAACATCTACAAAAGGCGGGTTCACCTACCTAGAATTTTGACTTTATTGTTTAACTTATGTTTAAGTCATTCTTATCTCCCGGGGGAAATGATAAAGACTATGGTCACACCCATTCCTAAGAACAAAACAGGTGATTTGTCAAACATCAATAGCTACAGGCTGCTTTCTTTGGCCACAATTGCAGCTAAAATTTTGGATACGTTACTAAATAGCTGCCTAAATAAACACGAGCATCTTAATGATAGGCAGTTTGGTTTTAGGAATGACTGATACTGCTATAATGACACTTAAGAGTACTGTGTAGTATTATGCTGGAAGGAAAACACCTGTGTACGTATGTTTCCTGGATCTCTCCAGGGCTTTTGATCTTGTTCGATATGATTTATTATGGAATAAGATAGCTAGGGAAGTAAAGCTGCCGCCTGAATTAATTAAAAATTTTCAGTATTGGTATGGAAATCAAAATAATAGTGTGCGATGGGCCGGTGCACACTCTGATGCGTACCGTTTAAAATGTGGTGTAAGGCAGGGGGGTCTAACCTCACCTTTGCTATTTAGCATATAGGTATATATGAATAAGCTCATAGATGAGCTCAGTAGGGCGGGTGTCGGCTGTATGATCGATGGAGTTTCTTCTAACAATATTAGTTATGCAGATGACTTGGTATTGCTGAGCCCATCGATAAGTGCATTCAGGAAACTTTTAAAATTTTGTGAGAGCTAAACTGAGTCCCACGAGCTGAGGTACAATGCCAAGAAGAGTGAACTGCTAGTGTTCAAAGCGCAGAACAAAACTTACGAGAAAGTACCTCCAATCTGACTAGCAGGCGCAACGCTTACACAAGTCAAGTGCTTCAAGTACCTCGGTCACTGGGTAACAGAGGATGGTACGGACGATTGTGATATAGATAGAGAGCGTAGGGCGTTGATAGTAAGATGCAATATGCTGGCCCGCAGACTTACTGGTTGCGATGGCTATGTTTTTGTATTGCTTAGATGGGTGGACGAGCCCAGAGCCCACCTGGTATTTAGTGATTACTGGAGCCCATAGACATCGATTCGAACACCGTTGCATCGCTAGATACGAATGCATCCGACGTCTTATCCTTTAGGCCACGACGACGACGTGCTTAAGGGACCTAAAGGCACCGAGAGTGAATCCGGGGGATCCGACAAGACATGTTTCGGGCGACCCGTCGCGATCGGATAAGTAATTAGCGGCGGCCACGATAACAGGGTTTTCGTATCGAGCCGCTTTGACGAAGTAGCGTTCCGACGCTTCCTTAAGTAACAACGTTGTCAACCTAAGATCCAAATATAGATAACGCACAATTAAAATTTATTTCAAAAGCGACTATTCGTAAAATATATTTTTATAGCTTTGTTTTTCAAAAATGTTTACTTCGTCTCTTACGAGGTAAGATAATAGGTAATATTCCGTGCATGAATTAAGCATTTAGCTGAGGAATCAAAAAGTTGCCAACCACTGCTTTAAGGTCGTTGCGCCATATTAATGCAACGAACGACTATGACCATCTAAATACATATAAAACGAAGATCGTTTCCCTTCGAGGGCGATAACTATTGATGTGTGTTTTAATGACCCTTTGCCTATAAAGAAAGAAGAAAGTCAAGAATTTATTTCAATTGATCAAAACGATTACAAACCACAAATTCGTAGGCTCATGACTTACCGAAACCAACAAAATTACCCTACACGATATGAGTCACGGTACGCGTATCTAACTGATATCAAATCAATAATATATTGGTCAGAATGCGTTAACGTATGATAGCAGCCGATAAATATCCGATAACATTGTCCCAAATCTGAAACATATTTAATACAATTCATAATATCTTCCTATATTTCGGTCAACAAATCTAAACCTAACCTTGCTTTAGAAAAACATCAATTAATTTCTTCAGTAGTTATAAGTAGTAAGCGGCTTGGCTCTGCCCCTGGCATTGCTGAAGTCCATGGGTGACGGTAACAACTCACCATCAGGTGGGCCGTATGCTCGTCTGCCTACAAGGGCAATAAAATAAAAAAAACTTGGTACACTGAATTTATCTGCAACTAAAGCTATAACCCTATACAGATAATAAAGATCCGATAATCTATTCGACGACTAAGTGAGTGAGGCCCAAATGTGCGTGATATAGAAATACTATAAATAAATCATAAATTAAGTTGTGACGATTAATACTGAACTTCTAAACGCATATCGAGCTTAAACTACATGAATCTACTAAACAGTAGGTATTAACACAAATCATCGATTTTTAAATCCTAAAGCGTAAATAACGAAATTGTTTTGGTAAGTTGTGACTAAGACAAATCACGTCATTTCGGATCCGCCCGATCCACTAACGGTGCTTTTAGGTACCTCAAGCACCGGTCGTCGTTCGGGCACGGGAGTAAATTATCCCACAGACACAGCCCACCGAGTTTCTCGCCGGATCTTCTCAGTGGGTCGCGTTTCCGATCCAGTGGTAGAGTCTGTGAAGCACGGCTCTTGCTAGGGTTTGTGTTAGCAACGTCGTCAGGTTTGAGCTCCGTGAGGTCACCTACTAATTAAGGTTACGCTGATATGGTCTCTCTAGACCATCAGCTTAGATAGGATAAAAAAAAAACAAATCACTCACTTTATGGTGCATGCCGTGTATTAAGAAATGCAGTTTGATCATGATGAGCGACGACCCCGGGTCCAAGTGAAAGATCCACCGATGCAGCGAGTATTCCAGTATCGTCCACAACAGCACTCCTAATGAAATATAATACACGTACTGGAATGTTGTGATATTCGCATCTGTGCAATGTTCTGAAAGAAAGAGAAATAGTCTTTACGTGGTCTGAATAACAAATATCCAAAGGCTTTTGTTTTCAGGCAAAGTCACTTTTAACACGCTCTTGTTAGCTTCACTTAAATATATCTATGTAACGTAATCTTCTAAAGCAAATTTTACCAACTAGAGGACGTCCGGGATTTGAAAATTTGTAGACCTATCAAAGACCGATGACACTTCAATTATTCTATTTATCTTCATCTGTTAATGTTATTTAACCTTGTTTTTTTCCCACTTTTATTACTTCTAGATGAGGACCGAGCTTTGCTGGTTTTTTTCTTTTGATAACGCCATGTTGTTGTGTTTTTAAAGCGGTCAGTTGCCCTCAATTAAGAAAAATAGTATTATTATTCGCCAATAGATGTCGGGAAGAGTTGATTATTGAAAACACGAATAAAACATTTTCTGAAAATAAATCGTAGCTAGATCGATTTATCGCCCCCGAAATCCCCTGTAAACTAAATTTTATGAAAATCGTTGGAGCCGCTCCGGAGATTTGCTCGTTTAAAGGTATTTAAAGATTCCGAGATATATACATCCCAGTTCCATTTCAGAGTCCTCCCAATTTACATCAGTTTTGCGTCCATGTGTTTCAATGACATTTGTCTTCATATCTTTGCATATACTGCTTTATAATTCTATAAAATATTGTGTGATGAGTTTCAAATTACAAGATTATAGTTATACATCAATATTCTATTTCTGTTCATTCTGGTACCTATTTAGACCCACATTTATATCTACGCCTATATGGCGTCATCGTATATTTCGACTATTCCCCCTTTTTTTATGTACAATTGACGTCCTTGCTGTGCATACTTTGTTGCGTGCTGTTATCAAATGTTGTATTTTTTAACCGAATTAAAAAAGGTGGAGATTCACAATTCGTCTGTGTTTTTATATTTTTGTTTTTGTTACCTCAGAGCTTTTGACTGGGTGGACCGATTTTATATAATTCTTTTTATACTTGAAAGTTGGTGCTACTAGTGTAGTCCCATTTCAATTGGGTCTAATTTTAAAAATGGTATCCGTGACAAAACTATATAAGTCTTAAATTTAAATTACGTATGTGAGCGACAAACGGACGAATAATTCAATATCTCGCGAACCAATTTTAATGATTCTTTTTTTTATTGGAAAGGGTATACTATAAGGATATGGGGTTGATGACAGGATCTTAAGTCGCAAATCTTGATGGAGTGAAAGAATCTAGTCGATTTTACGCCAACAAAACACAGGTGTGCGCTTTCAGTACAAAAAATCTCTCCCTTACCCTCTTTTCAGAGCACTCCGTTACCACTAGATTTGCGTTGGCATTTGGCATTGCATGAATATAGTCATATGTTAAAGGATAATGTAGCTTTCTGATGGTGAAAGAATGTTCAAAATCGTTTCGGAGCCTATCAAATATTTCCTGTTTATAATATTAGTTTCGACAATAACATTTTAAAGCACTTGTTGCTAAAATACTTTGTATTAGTTGGGAATGTGACGATTCAAACCCAGCATCTACCGCCCAGCAAAACAGTGGTGACGCAGGGGGGCGGTGGGCCAGAGCCAGCTAAAACAGTTATAAACACTGTGACTATAGGACTCCAGTGCATTGAATTATTATTAATTATTTCTTCTTTGACAATTTCATTATTACAATTTGGATTAATAGTATTGATGATAATAATCAACATAAAAAATAATTCAATGTTGATTTACTGTTACTGTTTTTAACGATTTTTTGACGATGACAACCTTATTACAAGATTTTATTAATATTGGAGTTTACTCCTTTAGAATCGATTTACATATATAGGCCCGGGGTATGAAAATTATGGGGACCAAAATCGTACTAGCATGTCACACGAAATGCGTTATGCGCCTGATTGCGCATGTCACACGAAATGCGTTATCGCAGGTGACGCCGGGCTGCTGCGCCGGCAGTCCGCCACAAAGCCTCGTACTGATCGCGCGTTTCTCTCATTATTGTATTTTCATATATTTGTTAGTCGTTTGTTTTGTGTCTCGTTAATTTGTTAATAATCTGTAGTGTATCGTGTTGTCGTAATATAGAACTATTTCTCGTATTGTTTCGTTTAATTTTTTATATCCAGTAAACTCCAGTCGTGCGTCGGAGCGGACACACACACTTTTTTTATAATAATATTCGTTTGCGCTGCATTTGAAAATGTAATAAAAAAAATGTATTGCTGTTGGTTTTCCTAATAAATACATAAATAAATAAATAGTTAGTCGCTCATGTTTCATTTTCTTTAAATTTTATTTAAATGCCTGATGGCTTATTATACAAAAAATATATCATTTTTATGGATTTGTCGGATCCATAAGCATAATATTAAAATCCGTCAATATCATAGAATATCGTACACTACACATGTGCAGGATATTCTATGATATTTACGGACGGCGAATATCACGTCGAAAGGTGTGACTTGTTCGATATCGACTGTATAATAAGTTAAATCAATGCTAGATACATTTTTGCACAAGGCATAGTTCACTAGGTCATATCACGCCAGACGGCCAGGAAGTAGATAAGCCGAAATCTAAGTAATAAACAATGTCAACGGTCGCATTCATTCATTCATTACATTCGTTACATTGTTGTCAAAAGGTGAATGAAGTTAGCCCCTCAAAAAAATTTTTTTTTCCTATTTTATATTTATTTTCTATTAATTCGTTTGTTCATCATTTGTTCATGATTGTTCACTGTTAGTAATTGTTTGTTCTGCAGTTATTTATTTAAAAAAAATATTTAAAAATATACCTACAAGTTAGCCCCTCTAATGCAATTTCTAATATTTTTTCATCCTTAATGACTCGTAAATATTCATTTTCGATTGTTCTTATATAAAACACGTTTGTTCTCTTTCGAAATTACTCGTTTTTTGTTTAATTTACTATTTTTATTAGTTGAATAAATGTATGCAAAATATGTGTACTGCGCATGCGTCAACTATAATGCCTAAACTTTCTACGCGGTTTTAATCGTGAAAAAAAAAAAAAATATAAATCCTGAAGGAGCAATTAATTGGTATACAGTTTAATTAAAAAAATTAAAAAATAAATAAATGAAATAATGTGCATTGGCGTTAAGTTAGACCAAATACATTTTTTCCATCCTCCTACTTATCGTTATGAAGGTATAAAAAAGATAGGGAGTTCACATAGGTAATATAAACAAATAAGTAAATATGTTCATTATTTATCTTTCAAGAGATAATATAGGTATACATTATAATAACTTTTTTACACAGTCGAAATTATATTCCTAACATTAGTAAAATAACATTTTAATACGATAGGTAAGAGGATGGAAAAAATGTATTTGGTCTAACTTAACGCCAATGCACATTATTTCATTTATTTATTTTTGAATTTTTTTAATTAAACTGTATACCAATTAATTGCTCCTTCAGGATTTATGTTTGTTATTTTTTCACGATTAAAACCGCGTAGAAAGTTTAGGCATTATAGTTGACGCATGCGCAGTACACATATTTTGCATACATTTATTCAACTAATAAAAATAGTAAATTAAACAAAAAACGAGTAATTTCGAAAGAGAACAAACGTGTTTTATATAAGAACAATCGAAAATGAATATTTATGAGTCATTAAGGATGAAAAAATATTAAAAATTGCATTAGAGGAGCTAACTTGTAGGTATATTTTAATTTTTTTTTTTAAATAAATAACTGCCGAACAAATAGTTATTAACAGTGAACAATCATGAACAAATGATGAACAAACGAATTAATAGAAAATAAGTATAAAATAGGAAAAAAAAATTTTTTTGAGGGGCTAACTTCATTCACCTGTTGTCAAACGTATATTTCGCGCTACAGCAGCGCTACGCGTTTCAAACGAAATCGCCAAGAACTAATCGAAATACAATTTCATATACTGTGGCTGTAAAGTGATGTCCAATTTTTTTATTTATTACAAAGTTCACTTAGTACTTTAGACCAAGACTCGTGGTTTGGCAATGTTAATCGAAATGACGTCCGTATATGGGACGCCAAAAGCAGGTGGACGCCATTTGAAATGCAATTAACTTCATATTGGACGCCGAAACGGTTCTAGGATATATATATATATATAGAATTGCTCGTTTAAAGGTATAGGATAATCAGTTACCATTTTCAGTGTTTTTGCATTCTTATTAGATGTCCAACTAAACTCTCCTACAGGTCTCACAAAACAGGGACGATCCTAAAAGGAATCGGCGAAATTTTGTATTGCTTTCTTTTGTTAATCACAAATCAACAGATATCTGTCTACGTGGTAGTCTTTCTTTTCTTGTTCTCTTAGTCTTTAAAAAATGAAATGTAAGAAAATTCTGTACCGGTACACTAATTCTAGGAACCTTCAAAGTTCCAAAGACAATTAAAAAAAATACACTATTCAATTAAATCGTAATTTAAAAAAAATACTACAAGAAAAGTGTATGTTTATACGCTATGAATAATTTATAATTGACTCACAATAATGATTAGGCTTACTTAAAAGTTTATGATTTTTTTGAATTATCTTAATAGAGGATAAACTAAAGAGAATAATTGCATAATGACTCACCTCCACAAGCGACTTGCTCGTAATACTGCGTCCAGCCAAGATATAAAATTACAGGTATCCAGAACATAGGAACAAAATACCATGGCGTATATGTTAGACTCTCGAGCAATGGGCTCGCGAAAAGTCTACATTTCCGGTAAACCGCGCTGTTAACCCATTTCTCGTAGTCCGGCGCTATGGCGTGGAGCTGGCACAGCAAAGGCTTCGACCAGTCTAGACGACTCTGAAATGAAACACGAATTATTTTCATGACATTTTGCAGTATTTGAGTGGTGCAGTTAGAGCCTCAGACTTTTGCGCCGAGTATCGTCGAGGGCAAACATTGTGTGATGATCAGTGTACTTAATGCGAGATTTTTAACGTTCTCGATAGCGTAAAAGTTAACTCAAATTTGTATGGAGTTGAAACGTTTGCCTGCATTTGCCGCTACGACCACTGTTCCAACTGCATTCAAATTTGAGTTAACTTTTACGCTATCGAGAACGTTAAAAAGCTCACACCAAACACACAGGTTTGTTTGATCTATGTCTGGGTTTTTATTAATTATCTATATTTAATTCGGTTTTCGCGTCCGCAGCTCCCTTCGTAGTTGTTTGGAGCGTCGGAAAGTCGCTACACAATCCAATTGTGACTTCGTTCTCAAGGTGGGATTCACGTTATGCCGTATGGACGTCGTGAGGTTCTATAACCTCCAGTAATTACTTCCCGTTAGGTAGACAGCGAGCTCGTCTATTTAAGTCCAACGGCAGGAAAATTTGACAGTTTTTCCTCCTCTCGATAACGACCATATAATTTCCGTCGTCCGTGACTTTTCTGCTTATCTGTTAATAGGTTCAAGAGGCTATTTTGGCCTTCGTAATAGGTGAGCTCACGACGCTCACCAAAAGAAGCATTCGTACCAAAGGGGATGGCCCATTTTAGGCCCAAAGCGGACAATAGATTATAGAAAAAATACTTAGTGCATTAATTTTGTCATAAATAAATATGCATTTACTTTCTTGCAAATAAGCGCCACTACAGTTTACAATAAGTAGCTTAAAAAAAGTAACTCTATTGAAAAAGCAAGGACTTTTATTTTTGCGGGAAAAATATTGCCAGCTTCAAAACCTTTTACGTATGAAGTAAATATTTTGAGTATATAAATAAAACATATAAATAAATCATTTTAAGTATTATCATTAATCAATCGATTTTAATGGATTTTATGNAAGAACATCTGTGCAATAAAGCTTACTATAAAGTCAATGATTATCTAGAAGATTGCACAAAGTGGGAATGAGTTGCTCGCTCCAGGCATTTCAATATTGTAGTAATTGTTACGTTATAATACTCAGTGTAAAAAATTCATATTTAAAAAAAAAAAAAATAATATTAAAAAATAAATAAATAATAATTTTATATGTAAAAAAAAAAGACATGCCCGCTGAGTTTCTTGCCAATTCTTCTCAGGACGGAGGCTAGTTCTTGTGAATTGGCGGTAGTTCTTTTGACGTTCAACAAGTATGTACTTTCATTTATGTTGAATAAAAATTTTTTGATTTGATTTGATTTGATTTGTTCATTTCATTTCGTAAATACTTCATTTTATTTTAGATACTGTTTCCAAGAACCGTAGGCTTTTATATGAAGTTATGGTCGTGGACAAGATTGAATGCTTAAAAAATATTTATGATATGAAGATGATGAGGATGATAGAAATATGAAGATTTAAAAAAATTAGAAAAATACTAACAAACTTGAATTCTTGCACAATGACGTCTCAAATTTCGTTTAAAACACGAATTTACAAGGTCAATTAATAAAGACTAGAGATCTTATTATGATTCATTACATAATGAACAATATACCTGAGAGAATTTTCTGACACTAACCTGATCACTAAACTGATCAGAATCACGACCCACTGAGAAGATCCCGCAAGAAACTCAGTGGGCTGTGCCTATGGGAGTGTAGTAGAGAGCCGTTTAGACGCCAAAAGAAGAATGTCCTCTATTCGCACGAGTTTCGTTTCACATGTTTTTTTTTGCTTAATTGGGTGGACGAGCTCACAGCCCACATGGTGTCAAGTGGTTACTGGAGCCCATCTACAACCTAAATGCGCCACCCACCTTGAGATATAAGTTCTAAGGTCTCAGTATAGTTATAACGGCCGCCCCACCCTTCAAACCGAAACGCATTACTGCTTCACGGCAGAAATAGGCGGAGTGGTGGTAACTACCCGTACGGCCTCACAAGAGGTCCTACCACCAGTAAAAACATGTAATTTACGTTCGTTATTTTACGGTAACAACGCCAAAAATTTAATGGTAACCGCTTAGATCGGCACCAGACGAACATTAAGTCGTTATTCACATTAGGAAAGGACGGGGTCGAGGGTCTTAAGTCCCATTCCCAAATCGAGCAAATATTTGTGTGACGAATAGTTTGTTCGCTCTTTGTCCCAGTGCCTAATATCTATACGTGAGTAATCCAAACTACTGTGGCCACGAAAACTGGAAATTGTTCGAAAAGCCAGAAAGAATGTAATGTTAATAAAAAACGGAAGATAATTATACTGCAGTGGCTGGCTTACTGCTAGCCTTCGGCCACTTGCAGCTTGGGCGGAATATGAAAACAATGGCGAGGACATCTAGTTATTACTTGTATTTCGGTCAACTTCACAAAACATACTGAATGTTTTTTTTTCTCCTACCTATTCTAGTGACCTCAAGGAGTCATACTAGATTCACCGAGCGAGCAGGTGAGCTCACGGGGCTGTAACTTGGGGGCGTTGCTAAGCCCTAGCAAGAGCAGTGCTTGTCAGAATCTACCACCGTATCGGAATCGCTACCCACTGAGAAGATCCCGCAAGAAACTCAGTGGGCTGTGTCTGTGGGTGGAGTAATATAAGCACAACACGCACTTATATACAAAACTAAGGGACAATAATACTGGCTAGTAATAAAATTAATTGTCAACAATACTGGTTGTTAATAGAACTTCAGGTGAGATGACGTAGGCGTCATACGATGTGGAGTTGCGTTTAGTCTAACAAGTACAATTACGCTACCAACACCTTAAAATTAGTTTTAATTACGCCTACGACTCATAAGAACCGAAGTAAATACTATACAGATACATTTATGAGTTTGGATCGCAGACCCCCATAGCACAGAAAATTCCTAGTTACAGGAGTCACGGTTGCAGTTCGTCTTCGAATTATTATTTTTAGGGGAAATGAACATCGCATTCAGATCCATGTACAGTAGTAATATATTTTAGAAGATGACTTCAAAATTTTTAGCTTATAGAATATGTGCATTTACCCAATAATTTTAAAATGAATAGAAAATTTAAAAAGGTCGCGTAATGCAAAACGCAACAATCACAAATAATTTAAAATAGTACTGACGTTTTTTTTTTCCGATTGGGCCACATTTTAATAGATAAAATGACTGAGTTTATGCTCAAAGAACTACAGAAGTTTCTCAATTAGTTAATAGGGTTATAAAATTTGCAATTACCCGTCCTAGCGACAGTGTTAGCCCATCAACGACTTACTGAATTATATCACTGTGGAAAAACGTAGGTATTAATAACATCGGCTCATAATTATTGCATAAATTAAACTTTGATACTGTTGCCAGTTTAGCCGTCGGTGACAATTGCAAAAACTGATGACAATAGAATAAACTGTGTTCATTGGAATTGCAAACCCGACACTTGAAGGAATTTATTTTGTTGGCGATTTTGCAATTTGTTACTTGCGAAATGTCCTGCCTCTGTGTTGAAAATGACTGTTTTATATTATTATTATAATATGATTTGTGATATTTTGTTCCAGTTAATTTCCGTTCGTGTTTGTTTGATTGTTGAATTTTTGCAATGAGAGTTCCGGTCATCTATGCAAGGTCCCCAAACTCTTAAATTTGCCCTCCAAAGAAATCTAGGAGTTCTTGTAATTTGGCTAGTTCTTTCGGATTTTTAACGAATAAAATATGTTCCCTACAGGGTAGACGTACACGTCTACTTTTTTTTTGCTAAAAGTTAAGGAATCAACGGGTGCCAAGTTTCTTCGCTTACAACCAAATTTTTTATAGCGTTGAGGATTTCTAATGTTATATCATGTATGCGTTTCATATGGGTAATTGATGGTTGTTGCCCTGTGGATATGGTCATTGGAATGTCGATGTGCGCGCTGAATATCATCATCATCATCATCATCAGCCTTTATCTGCCCACTGCTGGACCTAGGCCTTCCCCAATGCCTTCGACATAATGCGGTCTTCCGTCTTCCGCATCCAACGACTTCCCGCCGTGCGCACTAAGTCGTCGGTCCACCTGGTTAGATGACGCCCCACGCTCCTGGTGCCCATCCGTGGCCTCCATTCGAGGACTTTCCTCCCCCACCTGGCGGCGCTGGTTCGACAGATGTGACCGGCCCATTGCCACTTTAGCCTGCTAACTTTGAGAGCTATGTCGTCGACTTTGGTTCTCCGTCGAATTTCTTCGTTCCGGATTATGTCCCTTAGACAAATACCGAACATCAGTCTTTCATTATTAAATATGCGGTTCAATGTACCTCAACATATTAAATGATAAATGTTGGATTAGTTTTTCTTCACTTCACTTTTAACCTTTGTTTTAAGGAGCTGCATTTTCTGAGCATTCGAAAGAGACGGTTTACTATGTATAGTTTCCGTAAAAATATCTTTAAACGATGTCCAGTTATGGTAAAATTCCGCTGTAAATTGGTATCTCTACTTGAGGATTAGACTTCTCTCTGTGGGCGGCCGATCACATCTTTTTGTTGACTGCCTTAATGATATCGTTAAAGGTTTTTTCATACTGCATGTTCACCGGATTCTCTTCTTTGTAGTTCGCACCGAGCTCAGTATTCAACTTCAAATACAAAGCATTGATCAATGCCCACCAAGACTGAATGTTACGTAGGAGATTGTCAAATCCCCACTTTTCGGTAATAAGGTCCAAGTTGATGTTAGCAACGGTATGTTCGAATGCCTTGTAGTTGCTACGTTCCACTTTGAGAAGGCGGCACGATATGAGAACTCTCTTGTCGTGGCCGCTGGAAACTACATACCCGATCCTGTAGACCGAATGGAAAACAGTCGACGTCGCCCAAAACACGTCATTACGGATCCTCCCGATCCACTAACGGTGCTTTTAGGTAACACAAGCACCGGCACCGTCCTCGTCGAGCCCGTCGCTTGCGACGAAGGGCTC